TGATACTTTGAATATTACATGTTAATAACTTGATTGGAATTATAACCTTGAATTGACAGTTTGATACTTTGAAAATTTTGAGCCAGCCCTACCCCCAAGGGGTGGGGCTCAAAGGAGTCAGTGTGCTAAAATTTCTTCATTTTCCTTGTTAAGAATCAGAGGTGCTAGTTTCAAATCCTTTTCAGTCTGAAATCTGTATGCTAGATATTGAGTAAGGTGGTTTTATTGTTTTTTGTCACTTTGAATTATATTTCTGTTCATGTTAAAAACAAAATCAACTCTCTGTATAAATATATCAGGTGACCGTTAAGGCCCATGGGCCTCTTGTTTTATGTTGAGACAACTTTTCTTTATAATCAGTTCCTTTTGTCCGAAACAGAAGCCGTAGTTATCGGCAGCATGCGCCATTTTACAGCGTAATAAAATATTTTCCCCACTGTTTTCAATACGTATTCCGATTCTACCTGAAGTCGAAAATGAATTCTTTATAAAGATCGTTATTTTCCATAAGGAGTCTTGCTTGATATGTTTATGTAGTATTTGAAAAAAAAAGACACAAAAAAAGTTACTTCAGCGTGATGCCCTTTTAAGAAGTTTTTCCCTGCTCATATAAGATAACCTTGCTTGACGATTTCTAGCAATTAATGGATTGGCATTTCAAGCAGATCAAACTTTGATGTCAAATTTGGCGTGTCACTGAATTTAATAGGCCAGCAGAACTGGGATTCAATGAGCATGATATTCACATGTTTATCGCTGACTGCTTTACCTGTCCTGAATGTTCTGTTGTCCAAGTTAAATGCAATAACTTCCCTTGACTTCATGATCGGTTATTTATTGTCAATAGACCTTTTTTGCCAGGAGAATATATCTCAGATGCAATCCAGTTTTACCCAAAGAATATATGTATTTGTACACCGAAGGACATGATAAGAATTCGTCCTGTTAACAAATTCTTGATAAAAATTTTCAAAAATCTAAGAATATTAAACACTTTAAAATCCAGTGTTTTAGACGCTTCAATAAAGCATAATAAAGTGTCTTGTTGACTAAGATTTAAGCTAAAATAATCAGTTTGTGAATTCAAAGCCGTTTTAGCTTACAGGATCTATCTTGCAGGATACAAGCAAGAATAATACAATTAATATTGCTGACATCAAACCAGGGTCGAAGAATTCCACATTTTGGTATAAAAGTGTACTATGAACCCCTACCAGACATCTGTCTGCCAAAATTTCAAAACCATGTGTTGAAGTCAGAGGAAAACCAAGGAAGACAAGTCCCATTTTTGCTTCTGCCTAGCAATAATTGGCCTGCAGCAGAATGCTATATATGGTAAAGTCCATTAACCGATCATGGTGTGCCAAAATTAATGTCAAATATTTAATGCTTCAGTGATAACCAGTTCCATTACAATACACACTTAATTGTTCATCACTATATATAGGTAATACATGTAGATGCATATCACCTGTATAATGTGGAGCATTACAATGACAAATTCTAAGCTCATTTTAAGCAAGGCCTTCTTTGTTATACAACATCAAGATGTTTCATCTAGAAAATTAAAAAACTACTTATTTTGATGACTTCCTACCAGCTTCACATAAAAAGCATGCTTGCCGTGTGTCATCTTGTCGTAGCTTTCAGGTGTCCTGTATACAGTAAATCAGTGGTCAGTCCAGTGTAGCAGAATGAAAAGGAAACATGAAGGCATCATTAGTTATCCTATATATATAGCACTCCAAAATGCTAGCTCTGTGATGCTATATAGCTATAGGTAGACTTGGAGAGATCATTTATATTGTATCGAAAGATTAGTGCCTTGAAAATGAACATGCATACCTTCCTGTATAAGTACTGCCTAAAATTTGTTTAAGAAAAAGAAAAAAGAAAAAAGGAAAAGAAAAAAATGAGGCCACATTGAAAATTAGCTAGGGTTTGTCATGAACGGTATATGCCAATTTGCTGTAACAAAGAATTTTGTTCATGCTCTCTCAGTAAGAAAAGATGTATGGTGCTGATGGTATTCATGAAGTACAGTCCTTTAAATAAGCATTCTTTTTAATTTTCAGCAATTCCTTTAATATCTATCGGTTATTCTATCTGGTGTTTTTAAGTAGTTAGCAGGCATTTGTAGAAAAGAAAAAAACCCACACAATTTCAAGCCTCATGAAATACTCTAATTTTGTAAATTCCAAGGGAAGATATGCATGTATGTTATGAGAGAAAAATGGTTCATGACTAATTCTTTGTAAACTTTCCATATAAATATCTTTATACATAAAAGCTGGCATAAAATCCAGGAGCAATCTAAATAATGATATCCAGCTAGGAAACTTGATGTGACAGACGAACAAATACACATAGCATATCTCATTTATTATGTCTGTCAGACTAAGAATTATTAATGTTGGGAGTGATATTTTGTGAAGAGGGACAACATTAATCTTCAGGGAAGAGAGAAAAAAACATAGTAATTACTTGAAAAAACATGAGCATGTCTCCTCCGATTAGTACATTATTTTGGTGTTATAAATTCTGCTGCCATGCACACTGAATGTGTTGATTTGTTACATGGTTTTTAGGTTAGGGCACCTGTCTCCTGTATAACACTGCTCAACATATATGTGAAGCTGGCCAGTGTGTACATGTATTTGAGTTGTGTCCGTGCAGACATTTCTGAGGATTGCTGAAGTTTTACACAGTGCCAGCAAAAATGAATAGTTATGCTTGTGAAATTGAGGGATATTACTTCTTTTAAGCATTTAAAACTGGAGAACATTTGAATGTATTTAATATTCTGCTGCTTTAGTTTGAAAAAACAAGAAATGCATCGAATAAATTTACCTATTGCATTCCATCCATTGCGATTTGGATTATGTTTACCAACCGAAGTACTTGTTCCACCTGTATATACTATTGGGACTAATAAAATTGTGGTACACATCTTTACATTTACACCTTACAGTTCATTAAAGAAAAATATATTTTTCTAGATCTAATAACTTAAACATGAATGTAAATACATGTTGATTATGAATAAAAAAATAAAAAAAAAAAATTTATCATATAAAATATAACTGATCATTAAAAAAACAATTGTGTTGATCATTGAAAAAACATTTGTGTTTGGTTGGCACTTAATAATTCTTTTCACTTTTTCTGACAGACACTCAACGTGCAGATGAATCGTAATCAAAGGAATCACCATTCCAACTTCAATCACCGTGGGAATCGAGGTGATGGGGATGGAGGGATGGGATTCAACAGACAGGGGCTGCTCGGAGAACCACCAGGGATGGGGGGAATGGCCAGTCCCCAGATGTCGGGAGGACTTGGTATCTTGGGGAGTGCTCCAGGACAGGGAATGCCAGCTGGAAATCTCCCTGGACCAATGGGAGGAGCTATGAACCAGAACATGTTTGGTGGAATGGGAGGAGGAGGAGGAGGATTAGGGCCACAGATGGGGATGGGACAAGGAGGAATGGGCCAGGGAGGAATGGGTCAAGGAGGAGGAATGGGCCAGGGAGGAATGGGCCAAGGAGGAATGGGACAAGAAGGAATGGGACAAGGAGGCATGGGACACCAGGGCAGAGGAGGAGGAGGAGGAGGAGGCATAGACCAGGGTGACATGAACCACGGTGGCCAGGGTGGTATGAACCAAGGGGGAGGTAACCAGGGTATGATGGGCATGCAGCAACAGATGGCAGCAGCAGCAATGCGGGACTCACAGCTCCAACTGGTCAGTAACCTCATACAGCAGCAAGGAGGTATGTCCTCCTCCATGATGGGTGGGCCCAACCAGGGAGGCATGATGTCTGGGGGGCCTGGCATGGGAGGTGGAGCTGGCCTGCTAGGCATGGGGGGTATGGGTAATAACGAAATGCATCGGAACTCGGAGCGACGAAACAGTGGCGGCAACAACATCCCTTCCCTGTTTGACATCAACCCAAAGAATACTGGACTCCTGGGGAAAAGAGGAAACAACAGCGGCAGAGATAGAGAGAGTCATTTTCCTAACAACCAGACCAACAACAACAAACGAATGAGACAGAACAGTCAAGGGGTAAGTCATATTCATACACTCTGCTTGTATCACTAGTACTGTGAAGGAGTCTGACTACATTGCTGGCATCACAATGGTTAAAACAGTAGCTCCTGTACACATTACCAGGGGTATACACATCAAGTCAAGAGCTACACATACATATATCTCATACAAACCTCACATCACAATGTTTAAAACAGTAGCTCCTGTACACAATACCAGGGGTATACACATCAAGTCAAGAGCTACACATACATATCTCATACAAACCTCACATCACAATATTAAAGAGGCACGTTATACAATTTTCATAAACTGTTCACATCAAAATATTCCAAGTAGTAGTCCCAGTACATTTTTTGTTCCTAAACAGCCAACTGTTCGACCAGAGGGGGACTAAAAGTTTGCAATCCCTCTGCCAGTCAGTCAGTCTGGCAGAGTGTCGCACTCTTCGGGTGGTGGCATGCATGTCGCATACTAAAATCAGGTTTTTGCCCCACTATTTTCAGAGTTATAGCCCTTTGTTCACCATGAATCACTTTGTTTGGGACATAATCTCATAAACTGTGCTACCTACAATTGCCAAATTATGTATCCAAGTACCAAGTGTTGAATACTGAAATTGGGTCTCCTGCCTCACTTTACACAGATCTAGAGTTTATACTGAAGTTTGTCCAGAGGTAAGAAATTAATATTACTTGCATTTCTTTTACTTGTCCTATTCTTCTGCGTGGCTCACATCACAACAGTCAATAGGTTTGTGTATACAATATATGTGCACACAGTTCCTATTTACTGTTTACATTACAACAGTCAGTTGGTTACGTTGCATATGAATACAGGTACCATAGTTTCTCAGACACTTTTCAAATCATTACCAGCTACATGTGTATACACAATAGTCATTGAAATTTGTTGATCAAGTCTTATATTTAATCATTTTTCGCTCTGGTAGCTAAATGACAGGCACACCGTCTTGTTGAATTATTCTCTCCCTCAGATGTATATCCTAGAACCATGTTTTTCTCATGTTTGTTAGCTTACTGTACCTGACTGCTAAAACTATAAAGGAAGAATAAGAGGTCTGTTTAACATGAAACTATATTCCTTGCACATGGATATATGTTACTGATGTGTCAAGTTGTGATGTTTGACTGTTAGTAACTTGTGTTTTCTTTTCACATGAGTTACCTTGACACTCTCGATCAATGTTTCAGAGTATGAAATATATTGTGTTAATTTATACAAAGGGGAAAAGCACATATAACACTGAAAGTCTCCTCACATTCAGTATTATTCTGAATTACAAAATTGAGACTTTTCCCTGTACAAATAAAAAAAAGTCAGACATTAGCTTGATGTATAATATACAGGTATATAAAATCATTCAGTGTTGTGTCAATGCAATATTAAAACATTTTACCTAAAACATTCTGAAATCTTTATTTCAAAATCCACTATAAGGTGAAAAAGACATAGTTAAAGTGGTTGATCCCCTCAGAGTGAAAGCTTAAATAATTTCACTGAAATCATTCCAGCATATTTTATATCAAAGGAAGGATTGATATGGCTTTTTATGTTTTCATCACTTAAATATTACATGCTATATCAAGTTTACAGTACTGCAAAAATACTGGTAAGGAAGCTGATGGCTAGCCTTGTAATTAAAATCTTGAACAAATTTACTTTTGAAAAATTGGCCTCCAAAAAATCATGTTGGTATGAGCTGTACTGCATGAATGTACATTCTTTGTGTATCAATCTATTTGATTGCACATTCTGGAGCCTTAAGTTCCCACTCACTGCCTCAATTACTTTGCATTTGATATAAACCGCTCCTTGTCTCATGGTTATTGAGAGGTCATGTTGAATGAGATCTGTCAATCTTATGTACTACTGTGCTTTACTATGAGTAAGTCCTATACATCTTGACCTATGGAGACAACAATGAAGAGAAAATCATGCCCCTAAGCTATGTGATATACATGTATATACTGCTTCATAGAAAACCACACCCTAGTGTCATTGTGTCCGAAAGAATCAAACTTGTCAACAATTCAACCGGCAGCATGCTGTGTCTAGCCTTGCTCTTGTCAGAGGAAATGATCATTGGATGTTTTTACATTGTATTGAAGACAAATGAAGAAAAAAAATCTTTGCATATTTCATTCTACAGCTATTTGTTACCCTAGAAAAATTCTGAAGCTATTCATCTGCATTATATTCATAATGCACATGTGATGGGAAAGTTTGATTACCTGTGCACATTTCAGTATTATCATCTATTGTAATTAGCATGAAAAATTCCAAAACTGCTGCATTCAAACAGACCCAGCTTGGGGCAAGCCATTTTCAATCACTTCTGTATCACAAATTACAGTCAGAATTTCTGTTTGTAGGGAAACAGTTGATTTGTAAAAGTTTACCCTCGCTTCTTTTGGACTGTCCATGCCAGGACACTTTTAAAATCATTCTGAAACAGGCGTGTTAAGTTCTGTAATGAATACAGGGTTTAAGCATGGCTTTGATATGTACTGTTTTAACTCTCAATTATAATATATGATCCAAATTGAACTGTGTTATCAAAAAAATGTGTATACACAACAAATTGCACAACTCCTTCCAGTCCATGTACATTGCTGTCTTATGACTTCCCTTGTATGTCTGCGGGTTAACAAACCTCTACAGTGTTGAATTGCTTGTCAACAATATAATTTCAGTGACTAACAGATTGTCTCCCCTTGACCCTGGTCCCCTATCGCCCACTTTTCTGTGTATCCTTGAGTATATTCACCCGTTATAGATGGGTATTGTACAATCGTCGTAGAGAATTCCTAGTCGTTTTTCAGTGTACTTGATTGACATTGTGTGTTTTCTCATTTTCATTCATCCATTATGTTTTGTTGATTTACTCATTCATCTGTCATTCATTCACTCATTCATATTCATTCACTCATCTGTCATTTATCCAGTCACCCATTGTGTATATCAGCCATTTGTTCATGTCTGTGACAGTTCAATTGATCGGATCCTAAACTTTGGGCCCCCTGTCTTGTCCCCCTTTCAGCAATCCCCTCGAGGCTATCACCAAAACCGTCAAGGTCAGCAATATCGTCAGAGTCGCTGGAGCGATCGCAGCCCCACCAGAGCTGGCGGTGTCCGCCCCAGAGAGCGAGATTTCCGACGTCCATCAAGCAGGGACTCAAAATACTCTGACCGTTCCCCGAACTCCCGCACTTCGCGGGACAGGCGGGAATCAGGTACTGTAGCTCTGCTGCTTTTCTCATTTTGCAGTTGCCTCCCCTTTACTGCTTACACATCTTTGTACTTACTTTACATCTTCATACATTTGTTATAGCTTTGTCTTTGATTGTTTTTATCCTTGAAAATCTGACAACCATGTGAGGGACCCTTCATACAGTTATACATTGTACAAGTTTTATTTCAGAAATCCAGCATTACGTGGATCCCCCCCATTTCCTTTAATAAGAATTCAAACAGACAATTTTGACCAAATTGGTAACTGTTACAGCATCTTGTGTACATGTTCATACTTTTTCAAAGATGTGTTTTCATGATATTTCACCTCTTCAATGAGCTTGTCATTTAAGACAATTTATTTCTCTAACTTCTGCTTTCACAATTGAACATGTTCATAAATTGTATTCAGGGGGTAGGGGGTACTTATAATGCATTTCACCCATCTCTTTCTGTGCTGGTGCTGGCAATATTTACACATTACATATATTTACTCTAAAACAAGAGCTTAAGCTGTATTCCCTTTATTGAGCCACCTTCTTTTTAACCTTTTACTTTCAGTTTAGTACAGTATGCACTCATACATTTGAACATCGTGATAAAACCTTTCTATTTCCTGAAAAACAACATATAATTTTAGTCCTATGAAAACCAAATTTTATCTTTAGCTCTTCCTTAAGATGTGGCGTGGGTCCTTCATTGTAAAATGAGACAAAGTATTAGAAATATTTCAAAACAAGTGTTGATGGAGTTCAGCTATTCCAGATTCCCCCACCTGGAATTTCCAGAATATTTCTTATATTGATATTTTTGTAACCAGCTCTTGACTTCTTTTATCAATTCATATAAATTCAACTTTCCCAAAACCCACCAGACCTCAAAAAGACCAACAATTCAACCCCAGAACAACATAGAAACCAACTCTTTTCATCAAATAATGCAACACAGATCTTTTTTAGAAGTCTTGAGACTTAATTATTTTTATCAAAATTTCATAACTGTTCCCGTGTCTATAATCCACTGATAGTGTTACGCTGCTTAAAACAGCCACATGTATAGCTGGCAGCTATGGTATTTAAAGGGCTTGTAGCATTCGTAATTACTCTGCCTATTCATTGTCATTATTTGGAATTTTACTAAGAATGTTCCAGTAGATGTAAAGGCTTATTCATGCTTCTACATATATATCTCCCCGTGCTTCTGTCAGTAATTTTAAAACTACAATTTACCCTCTCCGACTGAAAGCGGAATATATTTTGTAGTGCACTGAACAGAAAACAGCATGAATGCTGTTTTCTGTTTTTGAAAAAAAATCATTGGAGTTCAGAAGTATTTTACTTGAAACTAGAAGTTTTTTGTGTTGATCTGTATGTTTCACTTATATTTCTCTCTTCTGTCTTCAATCTGTGTTTCTCTCTTTTTGTCTCTACTTTCTGTAATCTTTTGTATTAAAAATTCATATCCGTACACTGACTTGGTGGTTGGTTGCATCAAAATGTGATGTTTCTTTTTCTGTTCAGTTTTATGTACAGTCATTCAAAATTTCATCTAGAAATACAACTTTGCAATTTAACTTAAAAAGAGTGATTATATTCTATGTATATGACTATTGTTCTGGTATTTAGACTACATTAAGTGTTCATCGTTGGTCTTTAAAGTTTGACATGTACATCTTTGATCAAGAATTTCATCATAACTGCTTTTTCTTTTCTTTTAGTTTAAGTTTTGTAATATTTCCTAAGCTCTGAATTGAAGTGAATCTAACTTTTTCGTTTACAGTATTCTGATTTATAGATACTTGAGATGTTTTTTGTTATCGTTACGAAACCCTAACTTTGTTAAAAATCTTTTTTCACATACTGTATGTAATACTTGCAGCTCTTTTTCAGCTTCTCATTTTCATATTTTTCCTTCAAAAATTTAAGGAAATCCTTCAAGTTCATTAATCTATTACTTTCATCTAATAAAAAAAGTGGACAAACAAAATACATCCTAGCCTTAAATAACAAGCTCCCAAAGTACCTGAATCTCCACGAAACGTAAGGAAACTAGTCCTACATAACAGACCTCCCCAAGTACCTTCTAGTCCTTCATAACGGATCTAGATCCCAAGTATCTTCTAATCCTACATAACAGCCCTCCCCAAGTACCTTCTAGTCCTACATAATGGATCTCCCCCAGTACCTTCTAGTCCTACATAACAGACCTCCCCAAGTACCTTCTAGCCCTACATAATGGATCTCCCCCAGTACCTTCTAGTCCTACATAACAGACCTCCCCAAATACCTTCTAGTCCTACATAATGGATCTCCCCAAGTATCTTCTAATCCTACATAACAGACCTCCCCAAGTACCTTCTAGTCCTTCATAATGGATCTCCCCAAGTATCTTCTAGTCCTACATAATGGATCTCCCCAAGTACTTTCTAGTCCTACATAACAGACCTCCCCAAGTACCTTCTAGTCCTTCATAATGGATCTCCATCAGTACCTTCTAGTCCTTCATAATGGATCTCCCCCAGTACCTTCTAATCCTACGTAACAGACCTCCCCAAGTACCTTCTAGTCCTTCATAATGGATCTCCCCAAGTATCTTCTAGTCCTACATAATGGATCTCCTCAAGTACCTTCTAATCCTACATAACAGACCTCCCCAAGTACCTTCTAGTCCTACATAACAGACCTCCCCAAGTACCTTCTAGTCCTACATAATGGATCTCCCCCAGTACCTTCTAGTCCTACATAACAGACATCCCCCAGTACCTTCTAGTCCTACATAACAGACCTCCCAAAGTACCTTCTAGTCCTTCATAATGGATCTCCCACAGTATCTTCTAGTCCTACATAATGGATCGCCCCCAGTATCTTCTAGTCCTACATAATGGATCGCCCCCAGTATCATCTAGTCCTACATAATGGATCTCCCCCAGTACCTTCTAGTCCTACATAACGGTTCTCCCCAGTATCTTCTTGTCCTACATAATGGATCTCCCAAAGTACCTTCTAGTCCTACGTAATGGATCTCCCCCAGTATCTTCTAGTCCTTCATAACGGATCTAGATCCCAAGTATCTTCTAGTCCTACATAATGGATATCCTCCAGTATCCTCTAGTCCTACATAATGGATCTCCTCAAGTATCTTCTGGTCCTACATAATGGATCTCCCAAAGTACCTTCTAGTCCTACATAACGGTTCTCCCCAGTATCTTCTTGTCCTACATAATGGATCTTCCAAAGTACCTTCTAGTCCTACGTAATGGATATCCTCCAGTATCCTCTAGTCCTACATAATGGATCCCCCCAAGTACCATCTAGTCCTACATAATGGATCTCCCCCAGTATCCTCTAGTCCTACATAATGGATCTCCTCAAGTATCTTCTGGTCCTACATAACAGACATCCCCCGATATATTCTAGTCCTACATAATGGATCGCCCCCAGTATCCTCTAGTCCTACATAATGGATCTCCCCCAGTATCTTCTAGTCCTACATAATGGATCTCCCCCAGTATCCTCTAGTCCTACATAATGGATCTCCCCCAGAATCCTCTAGTCCTACATAATGGATCTCCTCAAGTATCTTCTGGTCCTACATAACAGACATCCCCCGATATATTCTAGTCCTACATAATGGATCGCCCCCAGTATCTTCTAGTCCTTCATAATGGATCTCCCCCAGTATCTTCTAGTCCTACATAATGGATCTCCCCAAGTACCTTCTAGTCCTACATAATGGATCTCCCCAAGTACCTTCTAGTCCTACATTACAGACTGCCAGTTTTCCCTTGTCCTACATGACAAACCTCCCCCAGTATCTCCTTGTACTTTGTAACTGACCTCCATCAATATCTTCATATCATACAAAACAGACCTTTCCAATATTTCATAGTTGTACATGGCAGGGTCCCTGGGTATCTCCATGTCTTGAATTACAAGCTCTCCAGTCTCAAATTGTTCCTTGCTCTACTTATGCTGAATATTGTGCCCTTATCTGCATATATCTCTGAAATACCTGCCTCCGTGCTATACTAGTGTGTAGATGATCATCTCATGTGGAGAAGCGGTATCAAACTGAACAGGAATAGACATGCTACCTTGTGTCATCACCCAAACAGTCAGAAATATACAGACATCCTTGCTCCTGTTCAAACCCCAACACAAAATCTGTGTCCTGAAATATCACAATTAACAGCAGAAAATACAAACTTCTTTCCTTTATAGGTTGTAACAACGTTATGCTTCAGGTAAATATTTCCACATGTAGGTTGTAGACCCACCTTGTCAGGAACCCAGCTCTACGGATACTAGTGACCTGCTACATAGTCTTACATGTGATGTTATGATGTGACTGGTTTGTAATGTCAGCTACTAACTAAACAGACATGCATCTATTTCGTTGGTTTAAACATATTTTTATTGCCTTGAAAATGACAAAAAAGGATTAGGCACAAGTTCTTACAACTTAATTAGGCCTCTCCTAACTTGAATACATTTTACGTACATCATAGCTGTCTGAACATAGCTGTCTATTTTGTTGTAATGTGGCTAGCCTGTGATGTGACTATTATAGGGTCATCAAGGAAAGACGAGTCCGAGGAGTATGATCCTGCTCAGCCTACAGAAGAGGATGACGAGCTTGATGTTCCGGTATGTTATACTTTCTTTCTGAAGATTTATAATGGCTATTAAAATATATGTTATTTAATCAGCTGTATGCATTGTCAAATAAATGCACAGGTTCTTTACTCTATATTACTCAATGTCTGGATGGAATAAATATTATTCAGTTTTTGCGGGCAAAAACTAATCAAGGTTTTCTTGCAACCAACTTTATTGATAAAAGGTTTAATATCCCTATACTGTAGACTGGGCTGTTTCCACCTGTATTCAGAATGTATAACCACTGTTCAATGACAGTACCACTGTTGCAGTGGTGGACATGAATGTGTTATAAGACGCCTCCCACTCTTCATTTTAAGGATTATAAGACTCTTTCATGTCCAGGGGTGTAGGATAGGGAAATTCCACCCGAGGGGTTTTCATATTTGGTAAAACCCAAGTCTATCACACCCTGGGTGAGGTCACATGGAATGTATACTTTGGGCACGTTGTCTACTTGAAAATGTTCGAAGAAATTGTTTTAAGTGTGATATAACTTACCTCTCATTTAGTGCAAACATATTATATAGGGTTGTTGATATCCAATATACAAAAGCTACTGAACATCAATGCCAGGAAACCAAAACCAGACTTTGTCAAAGAAGTAACTAGCTACTAAAACCCAACTGCTATGATAGTACTGACCCGAAGTGAAACTGTTGTGTACCCTGATTACATGGCTTGATACATGTTGTACAGCCACTGGAGAGTGATCCAGAGGATGTCATCCTGATTCCTGAGGTGACAGTTCAGCTGAACCATGATGACAAACAGACCAAAGAGGATGACGTGGACGAATCCATGGAGGAAGAGAACAAGTCTCCGGGCCTGGCCGAGGGAGGGGACTCCAGCCTCACCATCACGTTAAGTGGGTCTGGTCGCTCCGTCAATGATGCTAACACAGAGGTAATCATCATAGAAGGCTGTTAAGTAATACACAAACAAATATCTCCTTCACAGGCAAACTTAATGATTGCACCAGTTTTTCTTCCTCAGGAAATCAAAATACCAAGCAAAATATTGAAAGTGACCCAAATATTTTTTTATAGATTTCCCAAATATTCCTGTGTGTACCTGAATTACTCACTTGCCAGGACCCCAATTTTGAAAAGGCTACTGCTATCCCTACAAATTGTCATTTTATGTTGTAGAAGACGGAAGATACCACCCCAACCAAAAAGTCAAGCTACTACTGCCACGCCTGTGGGGTGGAATGTCGCACAGAGGAGGTGGGTTGAATGTCAATTATTATAAAATGACTCGCAGTAACCAGAAGATTGACCTACTTCGAAATTGCCGGTAAAATAGTTGAAATATATATCCTGGTGGTGAACAACACTCACAAGGTATGCCATCCTGTGTATGACAGGGTTTAATTCTCTGCCTGGGTTTTACATTCTGTCCCTGTATGACAGAGTTTAATTCTCTGTCTAGGTTTTACATTCTGTCCCTGTATGACAGTTAAATTCTCTGTCTAGGTTTTACATTCTGTCCCTACATGTATGAGAGAGTTAAATTCTCTGCCTGGGTTTTACATTCTGTCTCTGTATGACAGGGTTTAATTTTCTGCCTTGGTTTTACATTCTGTCCTTGTATGACAGGGTTTGATTCTCTGTCTGGATATAATTTTATGTCTCTATATGACCGGGTTTAATTTCCTGTTTGTGTATGACAGGGTTTTGCGAAGCATATGAATGGCAAGAAGCACAAGGTGAGAATGGAGAGTCTTCTCACACTACACCAAGAGAAATCAAAACAGTTTGAGGCCAGAATCAAAGCAGAGGAGCACCTGAGGAAGATTGAAGGAAAACCAAGGTAGGGTAACTTTGCAAGCATGTACAACTGTATATTGGGGCACAGGTTTGATTTTCGTGAAAAACGATGCAACAGTATAATTTATGAAAGTGCTTAAGATTCACACGTCCTTAAATGACTTAAGCTATTACTAGGACGTAAAACTTAGGAGGCAAGACCTGATTAACTCATTCACCCCTGAAGACACATTTGAACTCTTCCAATTCAAAGGTTGGAATAGTCTATTGTGAAATTTCAGTAGTGAATGAGTTAAGCACAAAAAAGTGATTAATGATTTCAGTATTTCCAAAAAGTTGCTGTTGGAATACTGTATTTTCGTACCCACAATAACCCATTGAGCACAACAAAATTCTAGATACCTTCTTACAAACATAAAAAAAAAAATGTTTATAACAAAACCCAAGGAACCTCAGAGGTCAGCAAGCTGTATGGTGCATAATCTGATATGAAATTTTTATAAGATCATTTCGAGGGACACAAAGAAGACTTGGTTAAAATAAAAAATTGCTTTGATAAATATGAAATATGTATAATTACTTTAACATTCATTATAAGATAACTTATGAATGTACCAAAGAGTGTTCAGAAGTGTAAAATTTTCTCGAGATTTTTTTCTATGAAAACCCTTATTTGCTTATAGAAAAATCCAATAGCTGTATGTTAAGCATATTACACTTATGTTATAGGCAGGAGAGGCGCAGTAGTGCAGGGGATGGTGGTCGGTATCAACAGTTCTCAGGACGGTACTCAAGGGAGGTAAGTGTTGTCATTTCAGTACAGGCTTGTATATAGACAGCTTTCAACATTCATTACTGTACAAGTGACAGGTTTGATCCATCTTGAAATGCTGAATATGATTCAAAGTTGTATAATGTATGACATTTCATGTATAAAAATACAAACTTTCTTATATTCTGGATTTTGTCCGAAGCTTTCGGTAGAGCGTCATGTAGTGTATAGAACTACAGTGCAGAAGTTTGGAAGTACTGTCATGTCTACTCATACATAGACAAACTAGTTTACTGATATTTTCATTTGCTAACTGGCATCGGTATATCGGTAACTGGCATAACAAGTACATCGGTGCGTATCGCCTACAATCACTGACTGGTAGAATTATTTATCGATCATTACCTCAAATGCCATTTTTTTTAGTTCACCTACCTGAAGAGCATACAAATTATATATTTTGGAAAGTCCTGAATAGTTCATATGATTGTTAGCTTATGAAGGTAGTTTATTTAGATTAAAGTAGAGAAAATCTGTGCAGGTGAGAAATGTTAAAATAGAATCGATGAATCTTAATTTCTGTCTGTCTATTCTGCCAATCTTTTTTCATGTTTTCAGTGTTGTGTGTAGTAATATTTAGTTTACTCATTGTTGGTATCTGACAGTCACAAATCAGCTTTACTTTTCCATTTCAGAAGCAAAATTCAGTACTTTAACATTTTCAGAATGCCTAGAATTTTATGCTAGAAAGCACAAAAACAAAATACAATACCACCTGAAGAATATTATAACTAATTCTTTTATGCTTTTATCATTACTGTTTTCTGCTTTCATATATTGTCAACTTGAAAATCTTTTCTGAATGCTTATTTCCACTTACTAAATACATCAAAAATTATTACTGTATTTCTGTAAATATATGCCTAGTTATTTTTCTTCTTGAACTTTTCTCTCTGTCTCTGAAGAACTTTGGTAACACTCCACCTTCTGGTCGCTTCCGTCACCCAGGACCCACCCACATGACCCCTTCAGGTCAACGACGTGGCAACCAAGGAAATTCGGGTGGGGCGTGGTTGAGAAAGGTACCCACCAGATTGGCTGACTACTGCTTCATTTACTTGCTGCTTAGGTCATCCGCTTACTGCTGCTAAACTTAACTCACTGCTAGATGTGCTTTAGTTTTTGTTTCTGTGTCCTGCTAGCTCATTGTAGCAGTGTTTGTTAACAAACGCTGTCACTTCTAGAAGGAAGCTAGATTTTACTGTCGGCTTTTGTTTTGATATTTATTTTCCTTTTGTTTCCTTGTTTTGCGTCATTTTAACACTAGTTTAGTTGGTTGAGTGTCTGCCAAGTGTAGGGAGGTCCAGGGGTTGAACCAATGTCTGATGTGTTGCGTTTTGCCCATCCTGTTACAAATCAGTACCATTAGTTTTGATACTTATTGGGAAAACTAGTAAGTGTTTAGCTTGGCACTTTGAAAATCAGGTTTTGTTGAAATTTCAACAAAGTTGGTTTGCTTTTAAATCTTTCGCTTTTCACTTACAGCTTTTGTTTTCACCTGTCTTTGTTGTTTTCTGTTTATCTCGTTTTGAGCCAGTTTGCTTTAATATTTTTTCTATGTTGAACTTTTGTTTTAAATAAGAATGAGGTTTGTAACACTTGTCATAAATCCATCTGAATTTGAACTGTTTTAGAATTTGTAGGTCAAGCAAAAATAGTATCTAATACCAGCACAAGTCATTTCATTTCACTCTCTCTTTGTCTGATCATAACAATGCTTTTTACCAGTTAATCTCCGGGATGTAATCATATCTCAGAGCTTTCAATTATCTAAACCCTCATTTAACTTCCAACAGTGACTTTTAGGGTGAATTTCGGGCCTTATAAAGGTCACTTCCTCGAGATAATTTCTGCTTATTTTCCCAAAATCAATAAAAACATCACTTTATTTTCCAAAAGAAATTGTTTTTTATGTGGGTGATATTTTCCAAAAGTCACAAGGCACAGGCCCCTGTGGAAATGAGCTAGAAAAATAAATTCACTGCTTCAAATTATTGCAGACCTGTGTATATCAAACATTATCTTAAGCTTTGCCTTTCCCCCTAGTTACTGTGCTGACAGAAATAGATAACTGATCAGAAGAAAACAAAATGGGACTTGTGCTGCTGTTTTCATAACTGGGCTGAGGATTCTGACAGTAACACACCATATATCTTAGTTTGTGTACAATGGTCACAAGCCACTTACTTCACCAGTACACTGTCAAAATGCATAATAACTGGTTACCATGGCTTGATTAAATAAGACATCATCGAAGAAACAACCCGGACAAAAGTGTATTTATTTTGAGAAATTACATCACTCAACCATACAATATAAGACGACCAGACCATGTGACCTATCTATATCACTGAAGCATGAAAATATAACATTTCGTTTAGAATTATATATACTGAATAAGGATTGAGATATGAACAGGTGGTATATAAGGCTCCATATTAATTCATTCGTTTGTATGACACGTTTGTATATTAACTGTTTTGAGAATGCCTACGTTACTAGCATTGTAAGTGTTACTTAATTACCAGTATGTTTATTTTCAAGGTAATATAAGGGCAGCATCAACATTCTGGGCTATTCATATATGCATAAATGAAGTTCTAATGTTTACAGTCAGGTGTTACATTGCTGCACACACTTGGCATAATTTATCACCTGACTGGGCAATTCTTGTGTTTTGACAGACGTCACGACATGATTTATGGCCCAGGTGTAATGTTTGTAGCCAAATGTTCAAGTCTCCCGAGAAATTTATCAGGCATCTCAAAACGCCACATCACATGGAGGTGCGTTAGACTTTATGTGACATTGTAATATACCTATCGTTAACAGATTATCTCAGTTTCATGTACAAATTTTAATTAATATACAAATCATCAAAACTGTTGGGTAGAAAATTTTACCAAGCTTGATATAGCCCCATTCTATATATAACAACCATTCAACTATTGGAAGGATTTTCCTTGTTGGAGCACAATAAGGCACGTTGATGAAATTAATTTTGATTTCAGTCTTAAGATATTTTGTGAAATCAAAGCTAAGTTTATCTTTCCTTTGATTATACATATGAAAAATGTCCGTTGGACCCACAAAAAGAACTTTTGACCGAAACTCAACTTAAGCTATTCAGACACTAGGTGAGCCAAAATACTGATGAATCATTTTAACAGGATTCAAAGAAAATATGGAAATCAAGGGGCTTAAAAGCAGCCTAATGAGTTCCTGCCCTTTTGCACTGATTAAAGGTGTCAGAAGGACCACTAATTCAACAATGCTTCAAGTTCATATTTTTTGGGTGGAAATTAAACTATGTATGCCAGTTTGTATGTAGCATTTGTACAAACAGGTATAAGCTCTTTATGGAAGTTATTATACAACATTGATAACTTAACAGGAGATAAAAACATCTATGGGATTATATAGCAGGTATACCGTTGCAGAAATATAACATTCACTGTATTTTGTTTCGTCAGAATCTCCGAGATCGTGCAAGGAAGTCCAGCCGAGAAGATGACGAGGACAACGGATTTCCAGATTTTGGTGACATGGTCACTGTAGATACCATTGGATTTGAAGATGATTATTTATCCCAGGTACTAGTCAAGCAGATATTACAAGACTGCATTGTCAAACTAATAATTGATGCCATGACAATTATTTATTAAGTTGTCGTGGAGTAAATCAAAGATGTTAATAGTCAGATATTGATGAATTGGAAAGTCTATTTAGTCGGCAAAAAAGTGCATAAATGGTGCTTCAATGAGAAAAGTCAGAATTCTATGAGACTTGCTGAGATCGGATAGAAAACCATATAGTTTAACACAACCACTACATAATACTATGTATGTCCATGCTCTTGTCAGAATTTGTTCAAACCGTTCTGAGCTGACAGCAGAGGTTTGTACAAGTCCTACAGTCAGAATAAAATCTGTGTATGTGTATTTAGACTACAGTGTAATAACATACAAAAATCATCTAGTACTGGTATGTTTAAATTAAGAAATAGTTTTTGTGATAAAATGGGTCTTGACTTTGATGTACTTTAAAAACCCACTATCACTACAAAAGAAAAAAACACTTGTTGACTCGTGATAATACCAATGTCTTGTATGCCTGTCTCGTGGCCAGCAATGTTGTCCAAAAAACAGGAAACTAGAGTAGATTAGTTTCAGCTGATCCCATCAGAGTAAGCATATTTAATCGACAATCCTGATTACATGAAATTCGTCACACTTGTAGTGCAGAAGGTCCTTTTTAGTCCAGACACAACTAGGGATGACAATCGTTAGGCATTCATTTGATCCAAGAAGCTTCCAAATGTATATGGTTATAACGTGTGTTTACAGGATAGGTCCGATGATGACCAGGATGGGTCTGAACAGACTCGGAGTGAGTGCCCTGACAAGGATGATAAGGTGGACATTGCCCACAGTCAAAAGGTGTATGACCCAGACAATGCTGTTGGTATGTTCAACCAGTGATTTCTTACTCCTGTTTGAACAGTACATGTGATTGGAGACAATTATGGGAAATGGGAATTATCAAATCAATTCTAAATTACACAACGGTTAAAAAACAAAAGTAGTTAAAAAATTGATATACAATGATTTCAGGGGGGAAAATAGCTACATAATGAACAATGTTTCGGATTTCTGTTAGTTTCAGTAAAATGTGTTTCAGATTATTAAATACTATCTGTCCATCTGTTTGCAGGCCAGAAGTATATTGTGCCAGTTTCTGGATTCTTCTGTAAACTCTGTCATCGATTCTACAACAGTGAATCAGCTGCCAAAATCAGCCATTGTCAAACAGAGTCACACTTCAACAATTACCAGGTAACTAATTTTCTGGCCAGGTAACTGTTGTCTAGCCAGGTCACTAATTGTCAAGTCGCGTAACTATTTTCTGGCAAGGTAAACTATTGTCGAGTCAGGTAACTATTTTCTGGCCAGGTAAACTATTGTCAAGCTAAGTAACTTTTTTCTGGCCAGGTAAACTATTGTCAAGCAAAGTAAACTATTGTCGAGTCAGGTAACTATTTTCTGGCCAGGTAAACTATTATCAAGCTAGGTAACTATACTATTGTCGAGCCAGGTAAACTATTGTCAAGTCGGGTAACTGTTTTCTGGCCAGGTAAACTATTGTCAAGCCAGGTAACTATTTTCTGGCCAGGTAAACTATTGTCGAGCCAGGTAAACTATTGTCGAGCCAGGTAACTATTTTCTGGCCAGGTAAACTATTGTCGAGCTAGGTAAACTATTTTCTTGCCAAGTAAACTATTGTCGAGCCAGGTAACTATTATCTGATCAGGTAAACTATTGGTGAGCCAGGTGAAATATTGTCGAGCAAGGTAAACTAAAACTATTGTCGAGCCAGGTAAACTATTGTCGAGCCAGGTAACTATTTTCTGGCCAGGTAAACTATTGTCAAGCTAAGTAACTATTTTCAGGCCAGGTAAACTATTGTCGAGCCAGATAAACTATTGTCGGGCCAGGTAAACTAAAACTATTGTCGAGCCAGATAAACTATTGTCGAGCCAGGTAAACTAAAACTATTGTCGAGCAAGGTAAACTATTGTCGGGCCAGGTAAACTAAAACTATTGTCGAGCCAGGTAAACTATTGTCGAGCCAGGTAACTATTTTCTGGCCAGGTAAACTATTTTCAAGCCAGATAAACTATTGTCGAGCCAGGTAACTATTTTTTGGCCAGGTAATCTATTGTCAAGCCAGGTAAACTTAAACTATTGTCGAGCCAGGTAACTTTTTTCTGGCCAGGTAAACTATTGTCAAACCAGGTAACTAATTATTAGGTCAGGTAACTATTTTCTGACCTTGTGAACTGTTGTCTTGCCAGGTAACTAATTATTAGGTCAGGTAACTATTTTCTGGCAACTTGGCAAGGTAAACTGTTGTCAAGCCAGGTAAACGTTGTCTAGCCAGATTGTAGGTCAGTCATATCAAGGAAAATCAAAATACATTTTTTTCATCAAGTAAGTCAAGTAAGATAATTTACTGCCATTATAAAAACAAATTTGAAATGCATGAACTGAAGTATGACATGATGTATATGTTATTTTACATTGATATGAGAGTTATATGTGATTTAACATAAATTATATCACAATATTTTGAGAGTTGATATGATGGATTGTGAACTGTTTTACATTGATTTAAATGTTTTCATTCTATCTTTGTAGAAAGCTATGTTAAACAAAATACTCAACAAGAAAAATAGGAAGGCACCAGAAAAGGATCAAGCAAAGCAAAGTCCTCCGCTAAATCAAAACGAATCTGGAGAAATTAAGGAAGAGAAGAGCCAATCAAAAAATAACCAAGAAAACAACCAACAGGAAAACAAAGAGGACATTGACCAATCAGAGACCACACAAAGTAATGGTGATATCAGTAAGGAGGTTGTTAGCCAGTCAGGTGACTCTGTAATGAAACCAAAGACAGAGACTCCTGATGTAATAGAGATTGACATGGATACTGAGGTCAAATTGTTGGAGGGCTCAAGCGAGGCGGGAAGTCCCGAGGAACCGGACGAGGATAGTTTACTGGAGGGAGAGGAGGAGGAAGTTGAGGACATGGAGGCAGAATCGGAGGATCCTAAACCAGAACCTGTGAATACTAAACTTGGTCAAAGAGGAAGGGGTGGGGCTAGGGGTAGGGCAAGGCGTGGCAGGCGAGGAAAAAACTGAGGATTAAGCCTATTTATATAATTTTTACATTTCATTGACAGTCACATTTGATGACAAATTTTTTGAATGTCGGACATTCAGATACAAGTGTAAAAGTATACTTTGTCTCTGGAGAATGGCCTATCCAAAGGCCTAGGGTTGGTTTTGATAGGGGAGTGGAACTCTATGACGGTGGGTGTTTGTGATTGAATCTTTGGTAATGGATATTTGTATGATGTCGTGTACTGTGACTTTTGTCATGGTGCTTGTTGTTGTATATGGCAGCCATAATAACACAGTGATTGGGCGAGATATTTGTCACCTGGTCATCAGTACTCTGTTGAGGGACTACCACGCAGCCATGTTTGACTTTGGACTACATATTACTGCACGATGAAGTACGTTTTGAACTTCTTTTTCCTAGATGAAAGTACTTCTGATCTCAAAAGATTTCTTTATTGATGTGTGGACTTCTGAACTCAGATAAGGAAAGGTGATACAAGATCATTTGTTACTGATCATCCCTATAAGTTGTGGGTGTCAAATGGCACAAGGTATTTCTACTTTTTGTTCCGACTGTGAGGTACTTAAGGCCAGTAACTTTTGGTAACTCAAACTACAATTTACTTCATTGAACCATCACTAAATTTTGCATAGTTACATATTTAACTTTCATGTTATAAATATTCTGGCTGATATTACCATATATACCAGAGTAAAAACTGAATGTTTGTTATGTGAAGACTTGTTTAATTTGATGAAAATTATATTGCTTTATAGTATTTTGATGATAAGTTTATACGTTCATAAATGTTAAAATGAAGAACTGGTTCTCAAAAATGATGTTTCTTGTGGTAATTTGCTTCCTGGATAATTTATAGTGAACAATGGAGTGTACAGATACCTGTTCTGTGTGAAAGAACAACGGTGACTGGAATGACTGACCAAGGTGCCATAGATTGAGATAAGCTTTGTTATAGATACTGCCAGTATACATATCTGTAGTGTTGTTTATTACTTACTCTTGCCAATATGAAGCTTTTGCCACTGTCAAACATGTTGTACCATTTTTGATAAATCAAACGCATGAAATGCCCTCTATTTGTATACAATGTATAAGGTGTGTTCCTTTATTAAGTGATAATATTATGTTCAATTTTTTGTCTGCTTTAAAATGGGAAGTGCCCACTGATTGCATCTTCTATGAATCTTTTGGACCAAATCTTAAAAATCCAGAGCCGTACGGTAATTGTTTTAATATGAAATAAGGTCGGACCTAGTAATCTGATGCTGCTTCCAGGCGTGCCGTGGCAAAGTCCTGCAAGGCCTGCATAATAATTTGCAAGTCTGCCAGGATTTATACCCGAAATTGTTACATTTAAAAACGATCAAACCAGTTGTTCCGCATAACCGAACAGGCCTCTGTTGACTTACTTTTGTTTGGAATCCTTTAGAATGAATTATGGTAGTTTTGTAGCGGTGTGCACACAGTTATTGTCATTACCGGTGAATTTTGAAATAATTCTATCATTCCTAAATTTGCTTTAAATGTGCTTCAGTAAATGTCAATCATATCATCAACCAAGTCTTGTCGTAAAAAAAATTGATAGTTGTTTTAATTGTGTAAATATTTGCCTGTTTTTTAAGTCGAGCACATTTTATTTATCAATTATTACCAAGATTGAGAAAAAATGTAAAATTTCCTTAAACATTTTAAACAAAAGGACAAATACATTGAAATGATTTATAGGTTAGTCGTCCGTCACCGTTTATGATTTATAAAGCATGTTGTGATTATAATTTCATTTTGAGTCCTCTAAGTATTTGGTGAAATACTTGCATTGGAGGCAGTGGAAAATTTAACGATTTAGGGGAGCGTTTCCCTCTATACTTTTAGGTGTGCATGTATTAAAATCATTGTACATCGGAATCACTTAATTGATGGTAGATTAGATTTTGTAACACTTTCATTGGTTGAGTGATGGTTACATTGAATGATTGTATTTATTTGATTTGTATTTTTACATTAGATTAGTGTTGATATGAAGTTGTGATTGATAGTATTATTTACTTGGAAAGTTATATGATAACTGGAGAGTTATTTAATTAGCTGTGAACTTATACAGTACATTTATACTGTTCCCTGTGCTACCTAAACTCAAAATAGCATTAATGTGTACTAGTGTAATGTACAGTACAGGACATCGAATCAAAATCTTAACTTCCTATAAATGTGTATTTATGTGCTGAAACTAGTGCTGGGCTTTTTTTCCACAAGTACAGATTTTATTTTATTTTTGATTTTTTTTCATAGATTGAAATGTTCCGTCTCTTTTGACTTTACACCTTACTTTGTATTCCTTGTCATAAATAATTTCTGTATGATTATATATGTCGGAAAACTTCAGTCCGGTAGGAAGGTGGATCTGATATGTGATGTTTTCAGAAACAATGAAACTTGCCCAGACTAACGGAACTGTTTAATTAGCTTACCTTTGACCCTTGTTTTGAGGTTACTTTTGCACCTTATCACTTCACATTGTCTATTTTTCTACATGCATGTTTTGAAATATCTAAAAAGAAAAATTCCTTGAACAGTTTGCCATACTCAAATTGATGGGTTATATTTTCTTTCTTGCATTTATCAATTTAGTAAAATTAGTATCATACATGTATTAGTAAAACCATGATATTGTATTGACAGATAAAATTGCTATTTTAATTGATGTAAAACAGCCAACCTGTTCTTAAATTAATTGAAGTGAACAAATTAAATGATATAACTTAATTCTAAGAAGGTAATTCCCAGAAAAAAAGTATAAACGTCTTAATCTTATACTTTATACCGGTATTTAGGTCATTTGGTATGAGTTATGTTATGTCGTGACTTGCATGTTTATGTCTCAAAACTGTTTTGACGAGATAAGTAACGATGGTTTAGTTTATAACTGGTTCCTATCCCTGTCGTCACATTGTCTACTCTTTCACCTTGTAGTGCACTTAGACTGTGTACATTAAATGACATATACCATTTGTATTATTTAGTTTAATGCTTAACAGGAAAGACAACTGCTTTACTTAGGAAGTAAAACAAAGTCAGACATAATTGTTTGAGAACAGCCATATAATACTGAAGATAAATATATAGGTAGAAATGATTGGCTTTTTAGCAAAAGAATGGCATGTGGAATTCTGTGTGTAGGAAAGGACATGTAAGAACTTTGTTTTTTTCAACTCATCTATTGGTTATTAAAGAGGGATATCTGACACCTGTGTTTGACAAATGGGGTCTACAGCCAGGACCCGCTATCATGTTCACTTGAAAATGGGCATTTAAATCATCCAAATAACTTATCATAAGTTCATAATGGTATAGCGAAATGGCCACGACCAGATGGCCTGTTCACATCAAAAGGGGCATTTGACTTTGAGGTTTTACTGTATATCTAGGAAACTTGAAACAACAACACTTATGGGTGACTTTGTTTTCCTTCGCAACTCTTGTACAGGAACTTAAGTGAAAATGTGTAGCTGACAAAAAAGTCTTTCTTTATATAATGATATTAAACAAAAGAAATCCAGAATGATTGTTTGTAGATTATGATCATAAACAGGACGTTTTCACATATGGAAACATATCATAAAACTTATTCATGACCAAGTGAGGTGGTCAAACATTGGCGGTCTGTTGTAGACCGTGTTGGAAATCAGATTTAATGTTAATGTGTATAAATATTTCTCACCGATATCAATCTGAGGAATGATTCTCTCTTTGTATGGGTATGGATGTTCTGAAAAACGTCTACGGTCTGGTGAAATTGGTAATATTTAATGTATTAGAATATTCAGCATGGAGAAGCTGAAATAGGTTGTCATATTTGATTTAATTACATTTGAAAGAATTTATATTTTTCAATTATTCAGAAAAAACTAAATGGTGTACATCATGATGTAAATGCTGTGGTGTAATATTAAGCCAGGCTGTTGCATGATCTTTGTAAATCATTGCAATCATCGACACAGAATTAAATGCATTCAGGCGTATCTTCCTACATTCACATAGTCATACTAACACAATAGGAGAGTGCCCTGTCTTATCAAGGTGTACAAATATTCATTCTGACAGCGAATAATCCAAAAACATATTTCATATTTGGAAAATATATCTATATTATTTTCAATAAAGATACAAATGAAATGTGTTTTGTTGTTGTTTATTAATATGCAAATTTTCTGAACAAGATTGCTTGATCATGGTGTCCCACCATGAGAGATCCCAGAGTGAGCTTGGCCCCCACGAAAAGGGATGTCGCAGGAATAAACCATAAAAAAGGACCAATTTGCTTATTTTATCCTGAGACGTGATGAATCAAACCCATTTCATTGGAAAGGAATGTAGATTTTTACCTCTTAAGAAATTGACCATTGGCCTGCATCTGTTGACACTTTAGGTAAATCCCTGCATTGCATTACTGGCAATGAATACCTTCTAGAAACTGACTTCCTTGACTTGGACCTTTTACTTGGAGCAATGGGACACCTGGGCCAATCCCTACAACACTGCTTCATAGTGTTGCTATTCATTGTTTGCCATTCAGAAGACATTAACTTGGACCTTCTGGACCTAAAGTTCTTAACCTTTTACTAAAGTATCTGTAACCATACACCAACAGTCCACTTTGCACCAACCTCACTTACTATATTGAATTTTGAACTTTGACCCTGAAATACAATATTTGTCTTCCTTACAAAAAAACCCAAGAGTACTGCGGGGCGGAACAAAATACGCCCGTCGAATGCCATATAGTGTACTTTCTTGCATTGAAATAAGATCTGCATCATTCTAAGAGTGGTTAGCTGATATGCTATAAAAAAATGTAGGAGAAAATCTTCAGACAAAAAATTAAATACTGAAATAAACAAAAGGCAACAAATTTTGGAAATATTGTTGAGTCAAAATTCTTTTAAGGGAGACACAACTTCATATCATGATTATAAAGTATACCAAGTTTCAAAGAGATCGGTCGAAAAATGAAGGAGGAGATCTCCGGACAAAATTCAAATACTGAAATGAACAAAGGGCAATAACTTTTGGAAAAATTGTCGAATCAAAATTCTTTCAAGGGAGACACAATTTCATATCATGATTATAATGTATACCAAGTTTCAAATAGATCGGTCAAAAAATGTAGGAGGAGATTGCCATACCATAATACTACCGTCAAATTTGACGGTCGTATAAAAATGAAGTTGCACAACTATTACGCTCAAGCGGAACCTGTGTATAAAATCTAAGAAAGATCTATCCAGTAGTTTCTGAGAAATAGCAATAACAAACTCTGAACCCGAAACCCAAGGTGCGTAACTAGCTAGAACTCAGTGGAACCTGCATACAAAATTTGAGAAAAAATATGTCTGGTACTTTCTGAGAAATGGTGATTACAAACTTTAACCATGATCACAGCTATGACTGGATCATAATTACCTGGGGTTTGTACAATGTTTGGGCAGTTGGAACTTAACAAAAAGTATAACAAAATGTCCTGGCCAAACAGAGTCCAGAGTGACCATCATAGATTTTAGTTCGTCTGAAATACAACATTACTAGACGATACTAATTAAATCCGGAATGTTTGGTTAAAATTGATTTGGTGGAATGGAAGAAGTTGAAAATGTCTTGGCCCATGTGTTACCCTGCCCCTCTCCCCAAGGAGGAGCAGGCCAATTAATTCCCCTGGGTTTCCTTAAAGATTTACCTATCCAGCTTCCCTATATTTTATACCTTTTACATCAGCCTCCAGTAGTAACTACACTGAATTGTGTTGTCCCAGGATTCATTTACAGGAAATTACTAGGTTGTTTTCTCAGACACCTGAAGTGGGTGTATGTAGTACAAAAGTAGTAGTATTCTCGGACACCTGAAGTGGGTGTATGTAGTATAAATGTAGTATTCTCGGACACCTGAAGTGGGTGTATGAAGTACAAATGTAGTAGTATTCTCAGACACCTGAAGTGGGTGTATGAAGTACAAATGTAGTAGTATTCTCGGACACCTGAAGTGGTTGTATGTAGTATAAATGTAGTATTCTCGGACACCTGAAGTGGGTGTATGTAGTATAAATGTAGTAGTATTCTCAGACACATGAAGTGGGTGTATGTAGTATAACATTACTCACTAAACTTTATTTATGTTTTCCAATTCAAATGAACATGTGATGCTAGTTAAACATAATTCAACTCAAATTCAAATACGTGACATCAAAATTTATTATAGAATGTCAACAATTAATTTGTTTATATGCCACCTGGAAACAACTGTTAGAATATTACACAGCTATGGACATCCAACAGTGACAATGGACACCCTATCCAGAAGAACTCGACGCAGACATGAACTCGCAAAATACCAAATATATGTTTTGGTTATTCAACTGCTGGCATAGTGACAGCTACACAAGAGTGTATGCTTTGGTAATACCCAGGTTTAATTTTCAATTACAATTAATCAATTTAATCAACACAGATCACATTTATGATTTGTTAAAATAGCATATATTCTCATTTACTATTTTTTTGTAATTCTTCCTAAACATGAAAAAAGTAAAGCCGAAACTGGGGACGTTATCTGCTTGAAATTTCAATGACATGTAAAGCAGTGACACAGGAAACTAAAAGCTTCAATGTTCATTTAGTGGCGTTGTACAGCTTGGACGAGAGACCGTATAAGCTTTTAAAGTTCAATCCAGACAGTTTGACAAAACAAACTAGGTTAATTATATCATTCAATTAAATCACATTTTGAAAATAAATTGTCATATAAAAAGTTAATGAGCTTGTTGATATTTTTACATAAGTTATTTTAATTTCCATAGACCTGTACAGCCAAATACTATGGAAATGAAATGAATTGTCCAATATCATGGTGACAGGTTTTTTGTTGCTTTGTTGCTTTCTCGCAATGCTAGTGTTTCGAAACAATTTTGTGTATCTGTAAATTATTTTAAAGTAATTCCAGATGTAAAATCTATTGACAAAAAGCCGTAATAAACCCAAGAAGTGGTATTATTTAATACACAATCCCAAATAAGTTTGATAACAGTATCGAAATGATAAAAAAATACAAATATACATCAATCAGTAAAAAGATTTCTAAATGTAAAACAGTTATCCGATTTACACACAAATATTTAAAAATGACACAACAATTGTCTAGTAATTAAACATCATCAGTACACATGTACTACATTTGCCAGAAAAGTGTACAACAGGACTGATGGTGAGTGTATATATATAAAACGGTGGGAATGGGTAGTTTGTGCGCTATTATTACTTGATTTTATTGGCTATCACAGTGACTGGCTGTTTCAAAACAGCGAGCAGCTCAGAAGATGAGGTATTCGAAATGAAGTTTGTCCATACATACATCTGTTTCCATTGACATTGAGTGTTAAACCTACATCTACAATGTATATTAAGGTCAAGTTTATTGATTAATATTTTCATATTACAAGTAACCGTAAAGTGATAATATACAAATCACAAACAACTATACACAATAACCTATTGTGTACAAATAAACCACACAGTCATTATACCACAATCAAATAAACAGTAACCTATTGTATACAAATACACCACACAATCATTAAACCACAATCAATGAAACAGTAACCTATTGTGTACAAATACACCACACAATCATTAAACCACAATCAATTAACCAGTAACCTATTGTGTACAAATAAACCACACAATCATTAAATCACAATCAATGAAACAGTAACCTATTGTGTACAAATAAACCACACAGTCATTTTACAACAATCAAATAAACAGTAACCTATTGTGTACAAATACACCACACAATCATTAAACCACAATCAATTAAACAGTAACCTATTGTGGACAAATATACCACACAATCATTAAACCGCAATCAATTAAACAGTAACCTCTTGTGTACAAATAAACCACCCAAACAGTTTCACAGTAATACATTGTGTAAAAAAAAATCACACAAACAGTTATACAGTAATACATTGTGGACAAATAAACCACACACACAGTTATACAGTAATGCATTGTGTACAAATAAACCATACAATCATTAAATCACAATCAATGAAACAGCAACCTATTGTGTACAAATAAACCACACAATCATTAAACCACAATCAAGTAAACAGTAACCTATTGTGTACAAATAAACCACACAATCAATTAAACAGTAACCTATTGTGTACAAATAAACCACACAAACAGTTTCACAGTAATACATTGTGTACAAAAAAATCACACAAACAGTTATACAGTAATACATTGTGTACAAATAAACAACACAAACAGTTTCACAGTAATACAATGTGTACAAATAAACCACACAATCATTAAATCACAATCAATGAAACAGTAACCTATTGTGTACAAATACACCACACACAGTTATACAGTAATACATTGTGTACAAATAAACCACACAAACAGTTATACAGTAAAACATTGTGTACAAAAAAATCACACAAACAGTTGTACAGTAATACATTGTGTACAAATAAACCACAAACAGTTATACAGTAATACATTGTGTACAAATAAACCACACACACAGTTATACAGTAATACATTGTGTACAAATAAACCACAAAAACAGTTACACAGTAATACATTGTGTACAAAAAATCACACAAACAGTTATACAGTAATACATTGTGTACAAATAAACCACACAAACAGTTATACAGTAATACATTGTGTACAAATAAACCACACAAACAGTTATACAGTAATACATTGTGTACAAATAAACCACACAAACAGTTATACAGTAATACATTGTGTACAAATAAACCACACAAACAGTTATACAGTAATACATTGTGTACAAATAAACCACACAAACAGTTATACAGTAATACATTGTGTACAAATAAACCACACAAACAGTTATACAGTAATACATTGTGTACAAATAAACCACACAAACAGTTATACAGTAATACATTGTGTACAAATAAACCACACAAACAGTTATACAGTAATACATTGTGTACAAATAAACCACACAAACAGTTATACAGTAATACATTGTGTACAAATAAACCACACAAACAGTTATACAGTAATACATTGTGTACAAATAAACCACACAAACAGTTATACAGTAATACATTGTGTACAAATAAACCACACAAACAGTTATACAGTAATACATTGTGTACAAATAAACCACACAAACAGTTATACAGTAATACATTGTGTACAAATAAACCACACAAACAGTTATACAGTAATACATTGTGTACAAATAAACCACACAAACAGTTATACAGTAATACATTGTGTACAAATAAACCACACAAACAGTTATACAGTAATACATTGTGTACAAATAAACCACACAAACAGTTATACAGTAATACATTGTGTACAAATAAACCACACAAACAGTTATACAGTAATACATTGTGTACAAATAAACCACACAAACAGTTATACAGTAATACATTGTGTACAAATAAACCACACAAACAGTTATACAGTAATACATTGTGTACAAATAAACCACACAAACAGTTATACAGTAATACATTGTGTACAAATAAACCACACAAACAGTTATACAGTAATACATTGTGTACAAATAAACCACACAAACAGTTATACAGTAATACATTGTGTACAAATAAACCACACAAACAGTTATACAGTAATACATTGTGTACAAATAAACCACACAAACAGTTATACAGTAATACATTGTGTACAAATAAACCACACAAACAGTTATACAGTAATACATTGTGTACAAATAAACCACACAAACAGTTATACAGTAATACATTGTGTACAAATAAACCACACAAACAGTTATACAGTAATACATTGTGTACAAATAAACCACACAAACAGTTATACAGTAATACATTGTGTACAAATAAACCACACAAACAGTTATACAGTAATACATTGTGTACAAATAAACCACACAAACAGTTATACAGTAATACATTGTGTACAAATAAACCACACAAACAGTTATACAGTAATACATTGTGTACAAATAAACCACACAAACAGTTATACAGTAATACATTGTGTACAAATAAACCACACAAACAGTTATACAGTAATACATTGTGTACAAATAAACCACACAAACAGTTATACAGTAATACATTGTGTACAAATAAACCACACAAACAGTTATACAGTAATACATTGTGTACAAATAAACCACACAAACAGTTATACAGTAATACATTGTGTACAAATAAACCACACAAACAGTTATACAGTAATACATTGTGTACAAATAAACCACACAAACAGTTATACAGTAATACATTGTGTACAAATAAACCACACAAACAGTTATACAGTAATACATTGTGTACAAATAAACCACACAAACAGTTATACAGTAATACATTGTGTACAAATAAACCACACAAACAGTTATACAGTAATACATTGTGTACAAATAAACCACACAAACAGTTATACAGTAATACATTGTGTACAAATAAACCACACAAACAGTTATACAGTAATACATTGTGTACAAATAAACCACACAAACAGTTATACAGTAATACATTGTGTACAAATAAACCACACAAACAGTTATACAGTAATACATTGTGTACAAATAAACCACACAAACAGTTATACAGTAATACATTGTGTACAAATAAACCACACAAACAGTTATACAGTAATACATTGTGTACAAATAAACCACACAAACAGTTATACAGTAATACATTGTGTACAAATAAACCACACAAACAGTTATACAGTAATACATTGTGTACAAATAAACCACACAAACAGTTATACAGTAATACATTGTGTACAAATAAACCACACAAACAGTTATACAGTAATACATTGTGTACAAATAAACCACACAAACAGTTATACAGTAATACATTGTGTACAAATAAACCACACAAACAGTTATACAGTAATACATTGTGTACAAATAAACCACACAAACAGTTATACAGTAATACATTGTGTACAAATAAACCACACAAACAGTTATACAGTAATACATTGTGTACAAATAAACCACACAAACAGTTATACAGTAATACATTGTGTACAAATAAACCACACAAACAGTTATACAGTAATACATTGTGTACAAATAAACCACACAAACAGTTATACAGTAATACATTGTGTACAAATAAACCACACAAACAGTTATACAGTAATACATTGTGTACAAATAAACCACACAAACATTTATACAGTAATAAATTGTGTACAAATAAACCACACAAACAGTTATACAGTAATAAATTGTGTGCAAATAAACCACACAAACAGTTATGCAGTAATACATAGTGTACAAATAAACCACACACACAGTTACACAATAATACATTGTGTACAAATAAACCACACAAACAGTTATACAGAACAGTTACACAATAATACATTGTGTTCAAATAAACCACACAACCAGTTATACAGTAATACATTAGGCAAATAAACCACACAAACAGTTATACAGTAATAAATTGTGTACAAATAAACCACACAAACAGTTATGCAGTAATACATTGTGTACAAATAAACCACACACACAGTTACACAATAATACAATGTGTACAAATAAACCACACACACAGTTACACAATAATACATTGTGTACAAATAAACCACACAAACAGTTATATAGTAATATATTGTGTACAAATAAACCACACACACAGTTATACAGTAATACATTTTGTACAAATAAACCACACAAACAGATATACAGTAATACATTGTGTAAAAATAAACCACACAAACAGTTACACAATTATACATTGTGTTCAAATAAACCCCACAATCAGTTATACAGTAATACATCGTGTACAAATAAACCACACAAACAGATATACAGTAATACATTGTGTACAAATCAACCACACCAACAGTTACACAGTAATACATTGTGTACAAATAAATCACACAAACAGTTATACAGTAATATATTGGGTAGAAATAAACCACACACACAGTTATACAGTAATATATTGGGTAGAAATAAACCACACACACAGTTATACAGTAATATATTGGGTAGAAATAAACCACACACACAGTTACACGATAATACATTGTGTACAAATAAACCACACCAACAGTTACACAGTAATACATTGTGTACAAATCAACCACACCAACAGTTACACAGTAATACATTGTGTACAAATCAACCACACCAACAGTTACACAGTAATACATTGTGTACAAATAAACCACACCAACAGTTACACAGTAATACATTGTGTACAAATAAACAACACACACAGTTATACAGGAATACATTGTGTACAAATAAACCACACAAACAGTTACACAATAATACATTGCGTTCAAATAAACCACACAATCAGTTATACAGTAATACATTGTGTACAAATAAACCACACAAACAGTTACACAATAATACATTGTGTACAAATAAATCACACAAACAGTTATACAGTAATATATTGTGTACAAATAAACCACACACACAGTTATACAGTAATATATTGTGTACAAATAAACCACACAAACAGTTACACAGTAATACATTGTGTACAAATAAACCACACAAACAGTTACACAGTAATACATTGTGTACAAATAAACCACACACAGTTATACAGTAATACACTGTGTACAAATAAACCACACAAACAGTTATGCAGTAATACATTGTGTACAAATAAACCACACAAACAGTTACACAGTAATAAATTGTGTACAAATAAACCACACACACAGTTACACAATAATACAATGTGTACAAATAAACCACACACACAGTTACACAATAATACATTGTGTACAAATAAATCACACAAACAGTTACACAGTAATACATTGTGTACAAATAAACCTCACACACAGTTACACAATAATACATTGTGTACAAATAAATCACACAAACAGCTACACAGTTATACATTGTGTACAAATAAACCACACACAGTTATACAGTAATACACTGTGTACAAATAAACCACACAAACAGTTATACAGTAATACATTGTGTACAAATAAACCACACAAACAGTTATACAGTAATATATTGTGTACAAATAAACCACAAACAGTTACACAGTTATACATTGTGTACAAAAATACATTGTGTACAAATAAACCACACAAACAGTTATACAGTAATACATTGTGTACAAATAAACCACACAAACAGTTTCACAGTTATACATTGTGTACAAATAAACCACAAACAGTTATACAGTAATACATTGTGTACAAATAAACCACCTACCAACACTATTCAGTAATACATTATGTTCATACAAATATATCACTCACCTGGATATACAACACTCGGTCAAACAACAATTTATCAAACAAACAACTAATACACAATTATACAATACAGTTATACATTGGTTATATACAAATATACCACCGGCACACAAAAATATAGCAAACGTTTTAAATTACTTTAATAAAAAAAAAATCCACTGAAATATGGGGAATTATCAGTATTATAGAATAAAATCTTCACCACTGTGAAAATATAAAATAATGTGGCTAACCTGTTTGTGACATGACAATACAAGGCAACATGTCATTGTGACGTCCAATCAAAAGTTCCGACAATGTTATTTTGAGGGGTCAATGGTTATGCATTACAGAAAAAATTATATCATCTTTTACCATTTTACATCAGATATATATATATTTAATTTTTATTTTTTTACTATTAATTTTTAATTGAACACAGCTGATATATATGAAACTTTATGGCAACCATTGAATATCTGTATATATTGTTTTATATACAATGTAAATGGATTTATGTATATCAATAAACACCTAATGTTATTTTAAATGTGCATATGGATAGTTACTAAATTTACATACATTTTTAAACCTACAAGAGTGAAGTGCACACGTGATTTATATGCTCAATGTTTTATTTACATACATTTATGTACAATTTTGAGATCAAAATAACATATAGATTATGTACAATTAAAATTCCAAATATTAGAATTGCATATAGACATGTTTGTAGAACAAATTCTGCTCTGGAGACTTACCCTAATAACTCATTCACCCCTGAAATTTCATAATGAACTATTCCAACTTTTGAATTGGAAGAGTTCAAATGTGTCACTAGGGGTTAATGAGTTAAGGATCCTCGTACCAATGACAAAACTGTAACTACACACTGGAAACTGTTTTTTCCGGCAAGACTACTCTGATAATCATTTTCGAAAAGAAAACCATTCCTTGCAGGACTTTTATGCAAAAATAATAAAGATGAAATACATATATATATATATAATCGACGGCCGTGTTCTGAGCATAAAAATATCAGCATGGCTACACCAGTATTCAAACCCTAAACCTCAAATTATTATACTGTGCCTCTAACCAATTGAGCAACCTAGTCAGCAGTAGTATTCTGTCCCAACTTAGCTAGTTATATCCAAAACAAAATTAAGGGGAGGTTACTCTTAATATAAAAAAAACCCAGTGCAGTGGGACAGGGATCCTTAACTGATTTTTCATTCACTGTATACATGAAAAAATAAAATGCAGTTGGACAGGCCTAAGGAATCCTGAAGGAAGCATCTTAAAGGTTAAGAGTCACATTAAGTAAAAATAAACATCATTACCATTTTTATTTTATTGAAATGTTTAGTCATTTTCTACAGAAATCTCCCATATAATATATCTTGTGATAAATTATATTGAAACAGAGTTGTTCAAAATTTGGGTAAAAAAAATAAAAATAAAATAGTAAAAAAACAAGAAATATCTTTAAAAAAATTAGATTGTCCAAGCAGTTTCAAATAATAAATGAAATGAAATAATGATTTTGTTTTGTTTTGAACTTTGAGCTTAAAATTGCTCACATGCACATGTGGTTCAATACAGTAGGAAGCAGCTAGTATTTTACCAGGGTGACATACTCCCCCTCCAGGAAAGAACTTGTCACAAGTTTTCCAGGGGTCAAAGCGATTCTTGCAAGTATCGTCGAGTATTTTTGTCATATCTCCGGAGTCCCTACGTGGGCGTCAATGTAACAGAGGTCATTATTTTTTCAATGCCTCAGCTAGGAGTCAAACCTGTGACCTCAGGTTTACTAGTCTATCACTGTATCGAATGATCTAAAAAGATATTCTCCCTAGCCAAGTCGGCTAGTATTTTACCAGGCTGACACTTAGTTCGGTCAATAAGGCAAATAACATAAAATGGTAATAAAGCAATATCTAGTCATGTGATACAAAACCTGGGTAACATATTGGGAGTTTACACGCTTTCAATCCTACATGTACACTTCTCCAATGGTAATATTCAGAAATTATAAATTGATACTAATAACAAATGCGTAGACAAGGGAAGTTACTCTAAGTCTGAAAAGCTTGTTTTTGCTGCTTCATCTTCTATATACATGTATAAAGAAGCGGAACTCTTCTTTGTGTTTGCAACTGTTGCAGTGGTACTTTTTACCTTAATTATAGAGACATTCCTATAGTAGTTTACTCTATACAGTATTACCACTGTATTAAGAAACATCCTCTGACAAAAGACCATGCACTTTTGAATCTTCCATTGGGTTGTTTCTAAATACAGATTTGACTCTACAAAATGTTTTCAGAAGTTTATCAATTCAAATATACACTTGATTCAATGTAAATTGTAAATTGTAAAAAAAATTGTGATACTATTAACTTATTAATGGCACATTAATCTATCATTTACTAAAACTGGGGGCATAAATGATCAATAAAATATATCAACTATTCTTAAACAAAACGAAACATAAGTAAAATAACTGTATTGTGTACCAGCCAATACAATATACATAGTAAGTTTCAGATTTAAATTTCAAAAGCATTTCCTTCAAAACAATGACACTTTTGATTTAAAAATGATGAAATGGCAACAAAACACCTAATTAATTTATTTTGTATACGTATATTACATATGAAATTCCAGGGTCTGTGTACCTAAAACAGTTCTTGTACACCAATTGGAGGCACAGTAGTCTAGTGGTAGGACGCGGGGCTTGTGACCGAAGGGTTGCAGATTTGAGTCACGGCTGGCACTGTGTTGTATCTTTGAGCAAGATACTTTACTCCGCTTATTCCAGTCTACTCAGCTGTAAATGAGTATGTGGTAGGGCAGTGCTAGAATTGTTGAATGCTAGCTGTGAGTGCCGGAATGGCAGCACAAGCTGTATGCTCCCCAGGCAGTTGAGAAAGATATTGGCTAGTTGAAAAGGCCCTATAACCACGAATAATTATTTGTGAACCGGTTTGAGACAACCTACGATCTAGGTTGTGATAAAGCAGTATATAAGAACCTCAAATTACTATTATTATCGAGCTCAGATTATGTGATCAAGGCCTGTGCCTTCCAGAAATTCAAACTGAAATAAAAACCAGGTTATTTTCAATTTTGTTATATTTACTAAAACAAAAACTATGAAATATCTGTTTTGCTATATACTGTACTATAATTACTATGGTGAAACTCTTATAACATCTGGAATATGTTTGTTGGGCGGATGGTAATGTAACAGTTCAGATGCCGTCAAGGATGATCATACATTCTTTGGATTTTCATAATTTTCTTTTTTAACAAATTCTATTCCATCTCCTGGTAAAGGAGACTCAATCATGGGAAATATCCAAGAAAGATGCCATTTTGATCCAAACACAGAGAGAAAGTTGATTTTCCAGCCAAGATCATATGCATAAACGTTATGAGTTCTTTCGTAAGTGACCTGTCCGTAATACACATGCTTAGCATGGTAGATCATCAGGAATGTTAGTAACACGAAAAACACAGATGCCAGCAAACAAAGGAATGACGCTGCCGTAGTGTAGAAGCTCAACTGCCCCGTGACAAAGCATATCAGAGGGAAAATGAAGTAGATTACACTCCAGAATGAAAATCCTCCAAGGACATAACTCCAGGTGAACTCGAAACCCATGATGACGGCAAACATTGTGCCGAGCCAGACGTAGAAGACGAGGAGAAGGTATTGACCGTAGGTATAGTAGCCGATACACTTGCCGGTGAACATGCAGTGATGGTCACGCTTGAGAATGCATTTGTTGCATGTTTTGCAGTGGAATGCTCGAGGGGGAGAATTGGCCTCACATATTGTACAATAGAACCAACCTGTTGAAAATACAAAAGGAAATCTTTTTAAACATACATATTAATTACATTCAATTTCATATCAGTACTTCGCCCGAGTTTCCTCTGGCCCTAACACCAGACTTAGACATTTTGACATATATAGATGTCTGGTGTGGAGCCAGAGCGCAATGCTATATGAAAACGTGGAATTCTCCGACACCATTTGGTATCGGGGAGTGACTAATCGACAAAATGTTGCGGTCCAGAAATCTTCTAAACAAGAATATTATATTCCGTTTTTGCTCCGGATCAGTACGGTTTGTTGATTAGTCACCACATGACCTACATAAATGGCATTCGCTCAAGTGGGAAATTTTGAAGAATTGAAAATTGAGGATGCTACCGACGAATATAGCAGCTGTTGATGATAAAGAGCTGATTTGGATAAATAATTAAACCATTTATCGATATATGTGAGGTATTTATTGTGTCATAGTAGATTTTTGTCGTTAGCACCTACTGTAATAACTGTCCGATACTAAACGGTGTCGGAGAATTCCATGTTTTCATATAGCAGTGCCCTCTGGCCCCATACCAGACATCTATATGGCAAAATGTCTAAGTCTGGTGTTAGGGCCATAGTAAACTCAGGCTAATCAGTACTGTTTCTGGCAAACCCCTGATATGATAATTATTGAACTGACTTAACAACTCCATGGCAACGATGAAATGAATTATCTTTCCATCTGTATGTGGAAAATATGCTGACATGCTCCAGTAATATAAAACATCAATTGAACCAAACGAAAAAACAAAACTTCTATGGAACGTTCTGACGAATACCCACCCCATCCGTTATTTAAAGGAGATAGTCAGCTAACTAATTATGGGTTCATTAATCTTGATCTGTTTATGGGAACGAGTAAAAATAATTACCTGGTTTTAGTAATGTAGGCAAGATCTTTCCAACAGTCGATGTGTTTGTAGAGCATATTTTCCACATTCGACCGATAACGTTGAAGTAAATGAAAATTGCATAAATATGATACATGCAAATCTTTACCAACCCGACATTGTACGTCTCTATCAGCCAAGGGAGAACTATAAATTCTCCATACAAAAGGCCAGCATGAATCATAATCTGTGCGTATATTACAGATACAGCATCAAACCAAGAATTTGGTTTGATTTTTCGCCAAATAAATCCCATCTTGATTTTCTTCCTTATTGAAGTTCACATTAACGAAAGGGGTGTGAGGTCTAACTTTGTTTTTTTCCCTGATCTTGGTAAGAAATATACATAGAGACACGGTTCTGTTTGGTCGTTGTCTAAAACATTTTGAAGACGCTGTTTTTGTTTTCAGAATCTTGGGCGCATTCGTATCGCAACTATAAACTGTACTGCATAAATTGGAGTACAGAATTAAGGCAGTGGCAAAATCTAATTTGTTTGGTAAATACATATATGCAGGAATGATTCTCTTTCCGTGAGTAAGTCGTGCTTACAGTAAATTTTACATTGACAGCAAGCTTAACACTGATCCATCTATTTCGTCGAATGTGATATCAATTCACCAACGCAAAATTGTTCAGTTGTTTGAAAATGGTGACTCAATAACTGATGATATTTTGGGGGATTTTAATGAGAAACATTATCATACTTCTTAGATACTGTAAGACTAATACATTCGATATTTTTTACTACTGTAAGCTAACCAGGCTTTATATTAGCCGGATATGATTAATAAAAGACATAACAAGTCGATGAACTTATTGACGGCATTTAACTACTTTCATAACTGAATGTAGTGGTAATATGTCACATAATTTGGTATATTTTCAACATAAATTAGTTATTTTTAGCAGAAATAGTAGACCTTTAATCAAAATATCTCGCAGGCTATCACGTCAAAAAGTACTTCCGGGTCAAGCACATGTGTTTCCGGGGGAATCTGTTGCAACCGGCATCGTGTGGCTAGTAATAATTATCTGTGTGGGAAGAATAAGGAGTATAAATAGAAGCATTCAATTGATCAAGTTCAGAATTGAACAGGACTGACTACTGTAGATTTAAGGTATTTCATCAATATGTCAGAACCTTCGGCGCCACCCCAGGCCGGTGGAGACAGCACCACAGATGGCGTGCCGAAAGTAAAGACTGAAAAGGAACTGAAGAAGGAAAGGGCTAAACAGGAAAAGTTGGAGAAGTTCAAAGCCAAACAAGAAAAGCTCAAACAACAGCAAGAAAAGGAGAAAGACAAACCGAAAGAGGACGAGGTATGAAAAATAAAAACAAAAACTGCAACAGTTTATTTTTATGAAAAATATACTATTTACCTTTTAAAAAATGGTGTGGCACAGGGACTAGCCTCGTCTGTCAATACACCTATAAGATTTTATTATAGGTGTATTGGCAGACGAGGCTAGTACCTGTGGTTGGGCTATATACATCTCCACCTCATAAAAAAATATAGGCGAGAGTCAGTCAATCACTCTATAACAATTGGATTTTTTATTTATAAAAATGAAATAATAATGAGGTACAATGTAGATTATAATTTTTATGGTAGACTTTTTATGTAGGATTAGGTCTCCTTCTAGTTTCGGGCTTTAGGGAATTTTCCTTTAGCTCAGTGTTAGAGTGTCCAACTAAGAACTACTCTCTTTCATGTTACAATATATTATATAAAGAATAAAAAAGAGATGCAAAAAGAGTATATCTAAAGTCTCTACAAATTTTGAAATTGTTTGAAACAACTGGATATTGTAATTACAATAAGGTCACTTTCACTTAATGATTTATGATGCAATATATAGATTGTAATATGGCTTAGAATAACGTGACAAAATGAACAAACACTAGAAAATATTTATAAAGACAATTTATTAACCCATCAAGATGACCCCAGCATAATTCACAACAGTAATATTATGAAATAAACAACAAAAAAGTACAAGTTACATGTACACACTCATCCACATACAGAATTTAGAACCATTAACATAGCGGTATCTGTTGACCCGCTGCCAGTTCCCAGGCTAAACTTAAAACGGGGAGTCAGAAAATATATACTTCGTGACCCAGGTCGAATGTAAAAGTTTAAATTTACCGAAATGTCGCCCCAGGAAACGGGTCTGTGAATCCTGACCAGTTACTTGTTCAAAACTTCCTTTACGTTTTCAAAAGGTAGGAAAATATTAATAACTCTTCAGTTACACCATTTCTCAGATACATTTATATATATGTTTTGTTTTTAATTTGGCCAAACAAAAAATATTTGGTCTTTCCTGTAACCCTACCAACCCTAATTTCATCTGCCTCCCCTGGACTTTTTAAAGCAATTTTAAAAGAAGCACTGTTAAAGTCAAGATCGTTGTCCTATATAAACTACATAAAATTATCTGTAAGAAATAGAATTTGTTACTTACCTAGCTACCTACCCTAAATTCTTCCAACATGTTGCAAGAAACATATATTTTTTTGTCTGGCCTTGGCCATAGAATTCTAAATCACTATACCAAACAAAACGTTTATGCTCAAATAAGCAGTTCTTTTTTGAGGTCACATGTTAGGAAATGAATTCCTGGAAATTTTCAGGTGTTCTGATAATTGAAAATGTGTATATGCTTGGGTAGACTTTGTACATTACTGTGTTTGTGGGAGATGACTGCCAGAATAACTTTATCACTTGACTGATTTCAAAAGAGGCAAACCATGTTTGTAATGATCCTGATTGGCACATTGACTGTTGTTTACAAAGCCTTGTTAGCTTCACGCATAAATGATAACTGGAATATATACTCCTGCTGCCACACAAAAATTCAATTTACTTGGAAAATATGCAATTCAGCTTCACAATTCACATGATTTAATTGGTACATACAGGATAATTTACGGATATTTAATTCAATGCCATATTTTCATGAATATTGCTACACGTTCATGTCTGCCAGGCATGGTTACTGCTAGTATTTTTTTTTTAGAAAGAACAATTGACTTAACAAGATTATAAAGTTCAAGTTAATATCCAACACAGGAGCCTATGGAGCTCCTCTACACTGGACCCAAAATTAAACGATTGTACAAATCAACTTTAAAAGGTGTATAATTTACACATCACTTTAAAGAAGATACATAATTATCATGTCCTTGTATTAGTTGACGACAATTTTAGGCTGAATTACATGTGAATGAAGTTTCAACATATTCACAAGTGAATGAAATGAACGTACCCACATGTGAATGAAATCAACATGCATATATACTCGCAAGTGATTCTACCTTATATATCACCATAGGCTTGTTACCTAAATGTTATATTTTAAAAGCAATTTCTTGGTTCAGAGTACTTCATATTCAAAATGAACAATATTAATTTTTCACGTCAAACTGCATTGTTATACATAAATGGTTAAATTGATTCAGAAAAAAATCTGATAAATTAAAAATGTTCAGGTATTTCGTTTTCCTGATGTTATATATGTGAAGTATATTGATTGTACTACATATGTTGATCAAGTTTGACAGAAATTATACGTGCTTGGAAAAACATGACAAGTTGCTCTAGATAAAGACAAACCTTAGTGTTAAAAACTAGATAAATGTAATACTAAATGAAGGTTGGAATTTTTCTAAACTCCAAAATTGTTTCAACTTACCTTCATTCATTAGTGAAATATAATATAACACTTATATATCTTCTCAATTAAATTATGTTGCCAAATATATCAACATAAAAACCTGCTTAATCTGTCTGAATGTTGGAATATATATAAGCTTATAAATGTTAGATATCTGAAAGATTTTTTTATTTTTTTCCAAATGTGTGACTGGACGGCTATTCTTGTTTCTGGAATTAGTGTCATGCTATATTTTCTTAAAATTTCATTTGGTTGGTCAGTTGAATAAATGTTGATCTGTGTGGTTACTTTGAAAGACCTAGGGGCGTTAAGGGTAATTTCTGGCCTCATCAGGGATTTTGAATTAGCGGTTATGTTCGTAATCTGGAATAAATGAAGTACGCAAATATATGAAGTTTCAAATTCATTCGACAACTGGTTTAGGAGATATGGCATTACAAAATTAGACATAAACCCGCATTTTCATAATATAATGCATGAATATCGGCTGTTGTGTGCTTTTTGGTTGAAAATTGGCCATTTTGAAGGAAAATATAATTAAACACTTTTCAATTTTCGAAAGCCTCCACATGCAACAAACAAATAAATGTTTGTCATGTGCGGAGGCTTTCGTTTCTGCATTTCTTTCATAACTGTCCAAAAACACCATATTTTGTCTATTTCTGCATATAGCAATGCAATTTTATTGCTATGGTAAGGCATCAACGCATGCACATTGGAAAAAATCTTCACCAAGAAAGATTGCCCCTATTACCCTACCAATATGAGGTTAAAAACAGAAAATAGTAAATATATTCAATTTTATTTTTTTACTTTTCATGAGGCCAAAAATGACCCATAACGACCCAAGTCCTTTAAGGTGTCAGCTTTCTGTCATGATTATTTGAAGTAGTGCTAGTGTTGAGTACCGCAGACACTTTTCAAATCACCCTTCGTCGGTGGTTCGTCGTCAACTTGGATTTTGAGAGTTCAAGTTTGTTATCACTACATGTATCGTCAAGAAGTACATGGCCTCCTCAAATTTCCAATGTAGGTTCCCCATAGTCAAAAGTTGAGCATGTTTCATTTTGAGACTGATTGGAGAAAACGAAATGGCCACCAGTTATATAATTAGCTATCTTGGATGTTGACAGTTCAAGTTTGTTATTGCTATTTCTCTAGAAATAAACAATGATCTTACTTTGAAAAGCTTTCAAAATCTGCAGTTTGCATTATTTTTTTTTTCAACTTTTATTACAAGATCCATTTACTTTTGACAAGACTTATTATAAATCCAGCTGATAAGAAAAAAGAAGAGAAATGATATAATGAAGATCTTACGTCGACGGGCACAAGGATCCATCTGAGATCTCTTGTTTTACAGTGTCATATGTTATTTTACCATATACAAATTACAAGTTCCATTGTAGGACCAAAGAAATCCTACATGTTACTAGGATGTATTTTGATATTAATTTTTATCGCTCTGAACATTTAAACAAACCCATACAAATCAGCATAAGGAATTTGTGTCTACATTTTGTGTTGATGAATTGACACAATTTCGTAGTGTGGTGCACAGTCCAGGATTATGGTACCGCAATATACTGATGTACTGGTAATGCCATGCCACCTTCCGCTGAAGTACTGATTCTACTGACCATGTATTAAAAACTATTTTAGAAATTTTAACCTTTTGAGAAATTGTTATTAATGCTCATTATTTAGCTTGTAGATGTCACAAAGTGTCAACATTTTCAGGAAATGTATCCGTTAGTATCCTCGATTCCTTGTACAATAAAGAAGATAACAGAAGAGTAAAAGTGGTATAAACTTTAATACACAATGTACGACAATAAGTAAGATTTGAAGGTGATATTAGTTTGATCACAAAACAGTTATTTTCTTTTGTCACCAATTTTCATGGATTTACCAAAATGGTAAATTTTGGGTGAACTATTTTTTGCAGATCTATTTCAGGTGAATTTTTGTTTTTCATATGGGTAATAACCGTTTGTAAGCTTTTTATAAAATGGACCATATTGATGTGTTAAACAGATATTAGTATTTATTACATACTTACTAATATTTAAATACAGATTTTTTGTATGCGATACGACACAAATGCTCTAACCCATATCGGCCCTCGCCATATCACACCCCAAAGCCTGTATCAGCCCACAAAACCTGTATCACACCCCTTTTGGAAATTTTTCATTTTTTAATATTTCAAACGAAAAACAGATCATAAGATAGTAGATCTATCCGTATTTTATTAGTAAGTAGGTAATACACAGAATAAAATATGCTTTTTTTCCATATCACACCCAGTATCAACCCGAGACTCCAATATCAGTATATTGGTCAAGGGTTGATATTGGGTGAGATATGGAAAAAGGCATGTATTATTCTCTATTTCATCTACAGATATCACTTGGTACACTGCTGACTCGACCTAATGGCCATGGCACATAGTATAATGCTACAGTGACAATGGATTCATTTTCTACTATTTTCATGGATTGTATTTTTCACACAGAAATGTTACCACAAAAATTGGGAATGTGAAAAAAAATCAATCTTTACAGAATACATGATGTACATTATAATGGGAGAGATTGTTAACTGTAATTGTTTCGAAGATTTCATGTTTTTCAATATTTTGCTAGTTTATCGATGAAAAGTTTCATGACTTATAAAGAAATATCTCCTTAACGACTGAGAGCTACATGCCTGAACTATCAATCCTAAAGATCTAGGATATACAGGAGATCCTAATCCACATAAAATGCAGACATGCATTTCACATCATCAGCTACACAATGACCTCCAACACCATCCCATGGTTTTGTTTCATGGCTTCCTGCACTATGCTGTTCTGAAAGATCATTGTTAAGTACACTAGCACTACAAGTGTTCATGTTCAGACATTTGTAATTGAAATCACCAAGTTTTGGACTGCTTTGTTTGGAATTGGAGCAGACGTCTGCTCCTGATGGAGACAAGGGTGTACGTCTCTTTTCACATTCAGCCATATCACCTGTTGTAGCATTCCCTTGTAGAACCTTGTCGTTGTTTTGGTTTGAAATTTCCTGTTGATTTTCAGGAACTGTGTTTTCCGATTTTCCATCATTTTTGTTTGAATTTGTAGACATGTTTTGACTGTTTAAGTTGGATTTGCATTGTGATAAATTGTTCATCTCAAAGTTACTCTTGTGTCGAATCCACCAATCAGCACACTTCTTGTGAAAGGATTTCCGTAATGAAGGGTCAAAGTCCAAAAGTTCTCTGATGTCCTGGTCGAGGGTTTTACTGTCTGGGTTACTATTTCTAGCAGAATGATTGGTCTGTTTCAGTTGAGTATCTTGATTCCCTTTGTCTATGATGCTTGGCGAGACCTTCACCTCCCATGGTATTTTACCCTCAGCACTATCAATAATGGTTATCTCCCTTTCATCCTCAAGTAAATTTGCCTCAGTTTGGTTTTGTCCGGTCCTTACACCTAAATGTCTACCTGTATGGTTTATCTCGACTTTGTCTTTGGCAGGTTCTGCGGTATCTTCTCCTGTAAGTCTTTTTTTACCTGTGCTGCTCTGGTAATCATTACCATTTCTATTGTTGACGAGATCCGGGGGATTTCCTTGACAATCTTGATGTGATTGAATGATATTTGATGGAGGTCTATCTTGATCTGTAATCCTAGCAGCTGGAGAAAATGGGGATGGATCTATTGCTTGTAAAGTTTGGGGTGGTACTGCTATCGATTGCGCAGAGAATGTAGCTCCTTTCCCATCGTCAATCTGTCCTTGAATTCCTTTCTCCATGCTGTCAGGTGTCCCCGTATTTTCTGGATTTCTTCTCTTTGTGTTGCTTTGTCTCATAAGCTTTTCTATATTAGGGATTTCCTGTGAATCATGTTCAGAAAAGTGCTTTTTCCTTGATCTCTGTTGCTCTTGATTGTGATTGACACTCTGGCTTTCTCTAGGTTGCATTGCCATATGCTGCTGAAGTAAGAATGATGATGGTGATATTCCACACATTCCTTGTCTAATGAGAAGTTGTTTGTGGTATTCTTTGATCGCTTTCATCCTTGATAAAGGTGAGACTCCCTCAGGTGAAATAGGCTGGTTCTTGCTGTTCAGAGGTGGACAATGATTGGTCAAAGCTGTCCTTGATAACTTTGTTCTCAGAGACGGAAACTGGTCCCGATTTTGATTTGGAAGTGATGTCATTGGTCTGGTCTGTCTTGAATGTTGGTAGGGATATAACCGTTCTGGGGTTGAATGGTGAAATTTGCCAGCGTTTGAACGGAGCTGATGCATTGGATGTACACTGGTAGCATTGTCCATTAGGTATAATGGAGGTGTATGTTGGTATTCTGTGGTGTTCAGTGGTTGTGCTGTTGGTGGTGGTGGCAAATTCATCTGCATCTGAGGCGGTGCTGTTCTGAATGTTTTGTAATAACTTGGCTTTTCTGAATCTGATGGTGTTCTATTCAATTTATTCTCTTCTGCACTTCTGGAATGACATTGCAGAGTTCGCGACCTCAGATGGGTGGTGCCTGTGTAAATTGGTGTGATGTCATTAGTATTTGGGTACATGCGTTCCATTCTAGGTTGATCTAGGCAAGACAACACACTGGAGATATCCCTGTGTCTTTCAGCAATGATGGCTGTTTCATGTTGTTGAATGGAGCTCCGCTGGGATGGCAGGCTTGCAGAGGTCTCGTCAGCACATTCTAAAACAATCTGTTCTGTCTGATAAGGAGCAGGAGATAATAATCTTCTACCATCGCCCAGTGATACGTCCTGACTTCGGTCTACATTTGGTCTCAGAAGTAAGGTTTGTCTGTCCTGTGGCAATTTGTTTTCGAACTGAGATGTCTCTGGTGAAATATATATGTTCAGTGGACGCATAGCAGGGATACAATGATGGTTTGGAGTTTGTATGCCTACATCAGTAGTACCTCTCATCAGATTTGGTGTACTTGTCATCAAATTTTGTGTACCTGTCACAAAGTTTGGTTTATCCATCATCATGTTTGGTGTACCTGGCATCATGTTTCCGAAAGAACTACATGAAGCTGGGTCATAATTTGACACCCCAGCCCACAATGCTTGTTGTACTTGACCTTGAGATGGCGACTTTTGTGAAGGAGTTTCTCGTATAACTTCATCTGATGTATCTAAAATGACAACAACCTCATTTTCTTCATTTAACAAGCTCTCAGCACAATTCTCCATTCCTTGTGTTAGGGGAATATTGTTGTATGCTTGTGTAAAGAAATCTGCTTTTGGATCCACAGAGGTTGGGGAAGTGTGGGTTAGGTTGAACATTTGTGACGGATGAACGACGAGTCGTCCCTTTTGAGCATCGAAGTCCTTTAGGAGAAACAGTTTTCTGTAGGTTTGGGAAGTAATCAGATCCTCATGCAATTCATAAATCTGACTGTAATTCATGGGAGTTGTTGAAAATCCCGTCATTTTCCTTTTTGTCCCACCTGTGCAATTGGAAAGACAAGGAAGAATATAAAATTTCCCATGGCGTGGTATGCCATTCAAATATTTCTTGAATATGTTGTATACCGAATCGTATTCTCCTGTGTCGTACAGTTTTATCTCTTCTACAGAGACGATGGGATTGTTTACCTCAGACAAATGCTCACTTTCCTGCAGATTTCCATAGAACACAACAAAATTTCCGTCTTTATCTTCCCCCAGTACGTACTGATTAGCCAACATCAGGTGGTGTGCTTCTATTGTCTCTATACCAAACACAGAGTAATTAAAGGCATAAACTGCACGTAGGAGACTTTTCGGACAATCCATATCCAGAAAACGTTTGTTCCATAGGCATTTCTCATGGTCAAGTTGATCAGTATGATCCTTCATTTGTTTTCTTTTTCTGAAAATCTTGGTTGTTTTGTAAGCCGCCTTTCGAAATTCAACAAAACTGTCATTGTCATGATCCAAAAAATTCAAATGTGGACATTTTAAGTTGATGACCAGATGGGCAGCCAGGCCACGGTAGATATTATAGGCTGAATTTATTTTAAACCTAGCACCGTCGTCACGTCTCACATTATTAACAAAGTCTTTCAGATAAACGTCCAGTTCTTTTGGTGATACAAGCCTCAGGTTGTCGACGGTAGGTATCGGTGACTCTCCAAGTTGTCTCCCCTGGTTTGCCGTTTTTGTCCATTTGTTCCAAGCATTGACAGCCCACCCTCTGTATATTGGCCAGCTCTTTGGAACACCGGGAGTCGCCTTTGAGTGGTGGTCGTCCATCTCCTGGGGGAAAATAGGATAACGTTATAGCTAATATTGATACTAAATTGATAAAATTTAACTTAATGTAAAATATTGGGGACCACATGCGAAGTCTGTTACCGTATTATCATTACATTGTAATTCAACTCATTATACATTCGCTAACTTTAATGTTGCTATTGCAGTTATCTTAATCGAAAAAGAGTTTCAAGCAATTAGAAGTTCACTTTTTCATGTTGTAATTTTGTTTATCACTAAGGCTCAAGATATTGGCTACTGGACTTTGTATTGTTTTTCAGATAGGAAAAAGAGACTTGACACATTGTTTGTAGTGCTTCTAAAATAGGAATAGGAGACATATTTTGCTGTTTCTAAACTAGGAATGGGGTACAAATGAGTTTATGAACTAGTATTTTATCAGTGAAATGGCTTGGCACATACGCATACACATATATACAGGAACAAGTTTATTTACTCACTTGGTCCAAGGACCAAGGTGAACTCATGCCATACTGTCAACAATTTCTTTAAATGACTTCTTCTTCTGAATCGCTGATTTGTATTTACCAAATTTGACTGGAAGCATCCCAAAGTGGTGGGGACTCAAAATTTTGGGACTGACGCCGTTACGTAGCTAAAGGGAAGGGGCAAAAAACGGGTGATTTGGCCATATTGCTTTTAAATGACTTCTTAAGCACTGTGAGTTGGATGGTAATCATATTGTGGTTGGAAACACTCTTAATAGGACATAGGGATTAAAAGTTATTAAAACGAAAATATGAAAGGGGGGGGGGGGGGGGGCATATTGCTTTAAGCAGTTTCCCCTCAAGGCCTATTAAATGGATCAATCATATTTATAGTTGAAAGCATTCTTAGGAGGTGGGGAATTAAAACTACACATGAGGGGCTAAACAACTGGGGAATTAGGGGCTTGTAGAGGATGAGAGGCTACAAACAAAGAATTTGTAGACTATATGAGACTGTATGAGACAGAGGACACATACCATTTATTTTAAGACTTTTAGGGGGCCTCATTCCATTTACTTGTAGGGGACAGGGGTCCACACTCTATGTACCTGGTATTTGTGGTATTTGTAGACTAGTAGGGGACAGGGGGCCAAATACCATGTATTTGTAGGGGACAGTTTTAGAGCAGGCCACACACCTTGTATTTGTGCACACTGCATGTACGAGACAGGAGGCCACATACCGTGTATTTGTAGGGGACAGTTTTAGAGCAGGCCACACACCTTGTATTTGTGCACACTGCATGTACGAGACAGGAGGCCACATACCGTGTATTTGTAGACTTGAAGGGGACAAGAGGCTGCATAGCATCATGTACCTTGTCAGAACGAATAACCCTTATCAATGATAGATGGAGTTACCTGGCCCTTTTTGATAACAATTAAATTTGTACTGGTTTGCATACCGGTTTGTGCATACCTCTCTGCCAGGTTTATGTCTAACTCATAGCTATATGTGGCAGTTGTTTAGCCAGAAATGAAATTGAGGTTGAAAGAGTAAGAAATTAGCTTTCCTGGTTTCAATTTTATCTAACATTATTCATATGTGTATTTTTGAAAATACTGATTTTGCTTGAATTAAGTCTTTGCATAAAAATGTGCCCATAAAATTATACAAACTCTCAAATGTAAATTGTATCAAAATTTTAAAAGTATCTTAATAATTGGATATTTAAACTTAAGCTCATATATTCATACCAGCTAGGAGATTCAGTTGTTTGCAAGTTGTTCAATTTTGTCTGAATGCTTTAAAATTATCACAAACCCTGAAGTTTTTATTTTGGTTCATCAAATGGTTGCTTCAGTGATGTGATACATATTGGATTTTGCTGAGAGGAAATTTACACATACAAATTGTATTTGATTGAGTGAGTGAGAGAAGTCATGAAGGTTAAGTGTTGTAATACAAATTCAATTGGCTGATGAGGAATAAGTACAAAAGCAGAAGCATTGTCATTACCATGTTATATTGGCTGAGAGGAAATGTATAAGACACCCGCACCCCATCCCCACCACCCAATTCCTTCCGTTTGCAAATGTTTTTCAGGTGCTTAAATAGAAGGAAGCATTTACATTTTAATTATTGTAAATCATGAGGCAAACTATGTAACAATCACAAAATGTACATGTTAATTATCCAGAAATCCATAGCTCAATTGTAAAAATCTGATTTTGGGGGTAAAAATGATTAACTTTTTATACCTGATAAACAGTTTAAGACCTGGAAATGTAGGGGTGTTCATCATGTTAAATTGGCCTTAATTTGTGTAGCTTCAATTTCACACTTGTGAAACGTCACAGACACACTACTACATGATCACGATGCAATTTGTCTAACCTGTCACTTTGACAGGGGGCTGGGTAGACACACAGACAGTTTCCTATCAATATCTCCAGTAATTATAAACAGACCAACTCAACTCTTTATTACAAGGTTATTACCATGCAATCTGGGACAAGTTTAATATACATGTTTCTACCAATATCTGACTGTAATGAATGGCATTATGGGTCTCTGGTTCTCAGTAAAACATTGTGGCTGCTGAATGGCGACAGTAATTATTAACTGATTGACTGCATGCAACCTTGTTTACGCAATCTTTTGAAACTTAATCAGACACAATATCCCTGCACGTGGCATTGATTTCTGTCTGTTTTGTGGTTTAAATTGTCAAGGACACTTTAATTTTGTATTTTCAATGTATTACAGGACAAATAGTTTTTGATGTTGTCAGTATATATATAATGGTTATGTGTATTCAAGTATATTCCAAACAAAGGTCTAATTTACCTATATACCTGTACTTAAAACCTAGTTTTAACCAGCTTACTCGGATACGTTAATATAAACCTTTGCTCAAAACTGAGGTTTAAACTACAAATACACCTGTGCTCTAAACCGAAGTTTGATATAAATATATGTATCTGTATGCAAAACAAATACGGAATCTATATTTATACTTGTATTCAAAACAAATGTACTCAACATACATGTACATACCTGTTGCTGAAATAACTAAATATAAGCGTACATTTTCTGTACTCAAAACCAAGATTAGACCTTTATTACCTGTACTCAAAAAAAGGTTGAATTTTATATATAACTGTACTCAAAACCAAGATTTAAAGGTTTAACTTATCTATAGCTGTACTCAAAACAATAATTTACTTAAGAGAGGGGTGCTACAGTACAGACAGACAGATTGATTTACTGGTTCTCACACAAGGTTTAGCTTATTCATCGAGTATACAGCTGTACTCGGAATAAAGGTTTAACTCATTCACCCCTGAAGACACATTTGAACTCTTCCAATTCAAAGGTTGGAATAGTTCATAATGAAATTTCAGGGGTGAATTAGTTAAACTAAATAATATATACCTGTACTCACAACAGGGTATTACTTAAGGATCTCTGACCCACTGCACTGGTTTTCCGTGTATACAGTAGCCTCCCCTTAACTTCCATTAGGATATTGCTGTAGCACAGATGGGCCAGGACACTTTTGTTGACCTGGCAGCGAGTTCATTCGATGAGAGATATATTATAAGAATCTGAAGTCCAGGGTTCGAATCCTTGTAGACCTGACAGCTAGATCATTCGACGAGAGATATATTATAAGAATTTGAAGTCCAGGGTTCGAATCCTGGTTGACCTAGCTGGCAGCTAGTTCATTCGATGAGAGATATATCATAAGAATCTGAAGTCCAGGGTTCGAATCCTGGTAGACCTGACAGCTAGATCATTCGATGAGAGATATATTATAAGAATTTGAAGTCCAGGGTTCGAATCCTGGTTGACCTGGCAGCTAGTTCATTCGATGAGAGATATATTATAAGAATCTAAAGTCCAGGGTTCGAATCCTGGTTGACCTGGCAGGTAGTTCATTGGATGAGAGATATATTATAAGAATCTGAAGTCCAGGGTTTGAATCCTGGTTGACCTAGCTGGCAGCTAGTTCATTCGATGAGAGATATATTATAAGAATCTGAAGTCCAGGGTTCAAATCCTGGTCTACCCCGCTTAATTTTTACACTCATAAGTTGTTGATTGTATTTTGTCTATTTCTCGTAAAGTTCTTGCAGGTATGGTTTTCTTTTCAGAATTTTTATTATCACTGCTATAGACATACCTGAAAAACAGTTTCCTTTACTTACAATTTAGTTACATTTTTTAGCAGTGGTACGGCATCCTTAAAAAAAAATGACCTAAAAATATATCTGTACTAAAAGTAAAGGTTTAACCTATATATCTATATATACTTACAACGTTTAGGCACCTGGTCAGTTGGCCTTGAATATCCTACACTTTTAGATGTCTGCCTTTGTGTGAGAGGTCAAGAGAATCATGACTTTCAAGCAGAAATTTTATTGGAATCTCTGCGATATCAGATTGTGACTGCTGAGAATTAGCAAGCTCACTACAGGCTGATGAACACTGGTCATAAATGTCCACTCCTTTTTTTCACACTTTTTAAAGTCTATACCAAGTCTTTTGAGATCTGCACACACCACACTTATCCTAAATATTACTCATTGCATGGTCTATGTCACAAGTTTAATTCAAGAAGACATTTGTGTATGGAATTGTCCAGAGTATTGTTTTATAAAAGAACACCTGTTCTTTATCACATGTCAAATGTCCTTACAGTATTCTTGTACATGTGAATTGCCTGACAAAGTTGTGTTATCAGCCTCTGTTCTCCATCAAGGGAGGTCCTGCCAGTGTCCCTGGTGTAATGAGGCTGTTCTCCCTATCTACCATCCCTACACACTGGGGCTCCCCAGGGAGCTAGCACCTGCTGTTTATATAGATACTTTACTGGCTGGGGCTCATGCCTTCCTATTAAACAGTATCTAAAATCTGGTCTGGCTTATAGCAGTCAGACATTGTGCATGCAGCTCTTGATATTCAGAAAGTTTAAGATATTGGAAGGAGGGGTCATCCCAATATCTTCGCTTTCAAGGATCTGTAGCTGCAGGATTAGAAAAGCCTTCACTAGAGAATTCGCGATTTAATGAGTTTCCTTGTTTTACTTCATCTCTTTTCGACATAGAAATCGTTACCAATAATAGTGTAATTTTGAGTGTTAACATCAGCACCAAGTGTTGGGGCAAGGTACTTAAATGTTGCTTACTGGTATAGTGCACCAGCACTACAATTTAAAATTCATGTCCTATAAAATATTCATCCCCTTAAGATACCTATCCGGATGAATAGTTTATGCATAAAATACTCCCCCCCGCCCCCATAAAATATTCATCCCCCCCTAAAATTTATCAAAACTTCTTACATAAATACAAAATTTATAGCATTTTGACATCATGTTACCTATAATACATGATTACTATATGTCTGTCTAGGTAATACACACTAGGGTGTCACCTGCGTGGGGACTGGGGCCCTGGGGGCTAATCAATACAGGTGAGAGCTAGAGGTGACAACTGAGCAGCACACAGGTGTGGCCTTTTACCCAGAAAAAAACAGCCTTATAATTACTATTGAAGTCATGTAGGATGATGAAAACAAATAAATATACTTATACTGTACTGAAGTTTTAAAACCATTTAAATTCATCTTTTTGATTATAAACAAAGTCAAAATGTGAGAATAATGCATTTGGCATTGGTATTTCTATTCTGTATTCTGAAAAGAGATGTTTTGTTTTATTTTTCTTGATCTTACAGTTGATTTAAATTTCCGACTATATTATATCACTCCTTCCCCAAACAACAAAGTTGATAAAAAAAATCTGAATTACAGTACAAATGAAGTGTAAATTTAGGTACTTGCATGTATACCGTATTTAAAATGTATTTGGAAAGAGAGTGTTATTTGTATTTTTTGATATTGTGGTACAGTTGATTTCTTACATTTGTCCTATAGTATATGACTATAGTATAGGGTAGATGGTTATGGGGGTGGATAGATATTTTATGACTATAGTATAGGGTAGATGGTTATTTTTAGGGGTAGGATATGTATTGTAAGACCATAGTATACCCTATACTATAGTCATAAAATACCTATCCACCCCCATTGAAATAACCATCTACCCTATACTGTAGTCATAAAATACCTATCTTAACCCTAATTATTACCAGGGGCAGATCCAGAATTTTTTCATGGGTTGTCACCATTCCAGATTATAAGCAACACAATCATTTTCTTTAAACGGAACTTTTAAATGGGGGTAACAATTTTCCCTTTCACCGAATAAGTTTGAAAGGAGGTAATTACAAAAATGCATACTATTTTTTAGTTACTTTAGATAGAATTTCTTTCTGTTTCATAAAAAAAAATATAAAAGGATATTTTAACAAATGTTTCGGGCAATATAACCTATATTTAAACAAGAAGTTACAAAAACATTGATATGCCTTGATCAACACATTCAGAAATCCTAGATCAACTTGCATGCAGTCTTCACTAGTTTTTCTAGGAAATATTTGCAAACATGCAAGACAAAGATTGAAAATAGATCTCAAAATATCATAATTTAAATATATGACTTGAGAAAAAATTTGGTTTACTCACATTTTGTCCTTGTCAGAGCAATGACCTTCTCCATTGTTTGGTAAAATGTGTCATGTGAAAATTGTCCCCTATTTAAAAGTTCCTTAAATTGGAAAACAGGAATTTCTTACCAAAATACTTACCAAGTTCGAAATTCCTCTCTTTTTCTTCAATGCTGTCTAAGACAACTGATTACCGATATAATGTACTGTCTTCTTCTATTTTTAACAAAAATATGTAAATTAAACCTCCAAAATTGCTTACATGCCACATTTTTTATTTATTTATGTGCATTTTCATTAAAAGTATAAAAGTAAGGGAGGCATCTTGTCTTTTTAGTGTAATGGTAACAGAAAAATAAGCTATAAAACTAGATTTGTGTCTATGTATTTAATATAGATGTCTTGTAAACTGATTAATTAACTTCAGGTGGCCATCTTGAATTTTACCTGAAGTTAGGGTTTCTTTTTTGTATCTCGCATATCTTAAAGTGACCAGTGTACATCATGGATAATGTTCACGCAAATGGTAACACAAAAATATACCATCTCATTATTTGACTTCTGTCTAAATGTTCGATATATAACCTCATATTTAGAATTTTTTTAAACTTGTGGCGGCCATCTTGGATTTTACAAGAAGTAAGTATTTTTTCGGATTCCTCCATATTTTAAAATGACCAGTGTAAATTAGGGAACCTATGTACCAAATTTCATGCTTTATCATAAAGTGCAGAATTCTTCTGATTTTGGCTCTTATCCGCTGTACTATTAGTAAAATGTCCTAGTGAAATGAAAAATCAATATATAACTATGATTTTGGTTATTTATCCATTTCAATTTTTCTAAAAAAAAATGTGATGTTCATTGTCCTACCTGCAAATGTTTAATGTTTTTTGTTTTTTTTTAACTTTTGTGATAGTCAAAAAACTGCAACACATGTGCCTGCTGTGGCTACTACGGACCACTGACCATACATGTACAAAAGTCTTTATCATGGTTTGCTCACCCATTTAATTAATGCTGGGGTGCGATATCAATTAGTGTCAACCTGTTGAAGGGGGAAGGGGTGATTGCTTTGGCAGTGTAATACACAACTAGAATCACCAGTCAAAACATACTTAATTCAGGTAAGCTTGTTAAGATTTTATAAAACATAAAATGTTGATGTGCACCATAGGGCCTAAGGTTACAGTACGCACACAAAACATAGCTAGGGGATGTCACACGATAGATGCAGTGTAGGGGGGGGGGAGGGGGGGGGGTCATGTGTGCTGGTAACACCCCCCTTGGATCCGTCTCTGTATACTGTAGTCATAAAATACATACATGTATCTACCACCATATAAATCTGTCCACCCCCATATGATACCTATTTACTCCCAAAAATACCTATCTACCCCTATAATGTACCTATGTTTTCTCTAGTCATATATTAAAATATGTTTTCATCCCATAAAAGACCTGTTTACCCTCTACCATATAGCTTGATTCAATTAACATATGCTCAACTTACTTGAGAAGCATATACACAATGCACCACCTAAACATAAAATAAATTTATTCCTAAAATATGAAAATTCATAAATTTTCTCTGTAACACAATACTATAAAAAAAATATCAACTGGTTAAAGCAGATTTTCTGTCATATATAAATGGACATATTTAATGATTAATTGAAAAAATCTATTTTAGCTGTAACCATAACATATAATTTACTGCTTTACATTATATGTTTGGATTGCATTGTTAAAATTAATTCATAAAATAGAAATAATTGAAAAAGAATGAGTTATCAGTATATAGCACTTATAGAGGTGTCGACATCTCACGATGAACCAATCTGCTGGATAACCGAACTACTCTGTAGCAAAGTGGACATAAAACCTATCAATCAATCAGTCATCTCACATGGCATACATTTGGTATGTTCCTATGTACAGGTAAGGTGTTGGGTGTATGCAAGGTGAGATTTGGTGTCCGTTAGAGAACTTAAAGACAGCTCTTGACCACACCTGTGTGCTGTCACCAGGCAACAGTATCCCCCTGCAGGGCCCCAGTCCCCACACAGGTGACACCCTAGTGTGTATTACCTGGACAGATATATAGTAATTATGTACTACAGGTAACATATGATGTAATAGTGTTGTAAATTCTGTATTTATGTAAAAAGTTTTGATATAACTTAGGGGGATAAATATTTTATGGGGGGGGGGGGGGGGGGAGTATTTTATGCATAAAATATTCATCTGGATGAGTATTTAATGGGGGATGAACATTTTATATGACACCGGGATTCAAATCCAGTACCTCCCAACTCTAGACTTCACCAACTAATTTGTCACTGGTGACCTGCCCAGTACATTCCATTTCTTTATTTGTTTGTCTATTTTTCCAAGTCTTCATATACAATATACAGTTGAAGTATGGTCTCCAGGGATATAGCAAGTTTCTGGTTCCCCGAGATCTGAAGTTTATTTTGGGCTGAAATCCCATACTTTAACTATTTGATTATTGAAAATCAAGAGACCCATACATTGTACACTCTTTCAATACTGACGGTGCTGTTGTCTGATGATTGACAACAACTGGATGGGGTCAAGTTCGTAGAAGCTCCACCCACCAATTTCCTGATTGGCCCAGTCATATCTGTAAGGAATTTGTGGATATTAGGGATGGGAATCGGTAGAAATTTCATGATTCATCATCGGTTCATCAAAATCAACCGATGATCAATTAATAATCGTCTACAATGAAATTAACTTAAAATGTGTGAACATTAATTACGATAGTGTATAACTATGAATTATAATGATCAAATAAAAAATGCAAACTCTTTTGTTATAGTTTCATTTCAATCACTTTTAAAATAACAAAACTGCAAATTCTTTTACCGAATGCAGCTCTCATAAGATCATCGACTCCCACTACGACAATGTTAGACTCACTGAGCCAGTACCATTAGATTTATATTCCTTTCTGCAAATTTGGCAGACTGGTGACTTCATGTTGAGAGTACTTTTTGTCAAAAGGTTTTCATTGTACAACTCTGTTAAATAATATTCAGTATGGAAGCTTTCAATGTCCAGTCCATGTTTTACTTGTTACTTATATGTCCAGTGAGGTTGTCCATTTCCCCTGTAGGTCAGGTCAGTGATGACCTGGAGCTCCCAGACCAGGGAACAGGTGCCCCTTTTGTAAATAGGGCAGTGATTCAGAATGTGTGAAAACTGGCATATATGTTACCTAATACTGATGGTCAGATGAAGGTCAGTATACTAGTGGTCACTGTGAAGGGCAATATAACACTGAGGGTCAATATAATAGTCAAAATGTCCCAATTCTCATATATCCACCTGCAATAAATAAATCTTGCTATAGGAACGTTACCATGGTTTGATTTTTCCACTCCTATGTCCTGTACATTTATCACACAAAAATTAACCTTGCCTGATGACACTTGTCGTAGCTAATCAAAACCAACAAGTGTTCCACACTCTTTAAAGTTATAACTAATTATACAAACTCATCACTGTAAAATAATGGGAGAAAAAATGTATAGTTATGAAAGTTTAAAAAATCAAGAATTGTGAAATATAATCAAATTTTTGCAACAATTAATGGGCCCCAGTCTATCGGCTTGACCCAGTCACTCAGTCAACAGGCCTTGTTATGTTACAGGCCCCCCCCCGGTTGATTGTTACAGCAGACATCAGTTAGTGGAATGTTGATTTTGTTGAGGAGGAGAGTGGAATAGAGGGGTTATTTATTAGACCTGTCACTGTAGTCCTTTTATCCCTTTCCCTCCAGTCTGCCCCGGCCCACCTCTGTCTATGTAAACTGAGAACAGGCTATTGATAGAGTTACACTCAGGTAACATGTAGTGTTTATTTGTCATCACAAACTGGCATTTCCTGTATATGATAATTTTTCATTCCTGTGACACTATAATTGGTGTACTTTCTGAACACATTCTCTCAGGACCTGGTTGATAAATATAATTCTTCTTGATCCAAATTACACTAGATGCATTTGGTTTTGTATCTGATAATTAAGGACACTTACGGGTATTCAACAGCTAAAAAACATGGGATAAAGTGTTACAACACTTGTGATTGATAAAGTGTTACACAACACATGGAACAACACATGTGGTGGATAAAGTTTTACACAACACACAGAACAACACATGTGGTGGATAATGTGTTACACAAAACATGAAACAACACATGTGGTTGCTAAAGTATTACACAACACACAGAACAACACATGTGGTTGATAAAGTGTTACACAACATGTGGAACAACACATGTGGTGGATAAAGTGTTACACAACACATGGAACAACACATGTGGTGGATATAGTATTTCACAACACACAGAACAACACATGTGGTAGATAAAGTATTACACAACACACGGAACAACACATGCGGTAGATAAAGTAATACACAACACACGGAACAACACATGTGGTGGATAAAGTAATACACAACACAATAAAGAACAACACATGTGGACTTAGAATTGTATTCACTTCGCATTGTGGCCGTGTCAGTCTTTTCCTGCCCCCTACTGGAGCAGACTCCCTGTCAAGTCTTTGGATCATCTTCCACAGTTCTCCTGCAAGTCCGTTTTATCAAAATTTATACCTGATTAACTATTCCTGATCCGGTACCACCCCTATGTACATATATAATAAGGCACCTTCAACAATTTAATCTAACTTATAATCTTAACTTCTAAGCTAACTTTCCCCTACCAAAACAACAATACTAGATGTACCATAAGGCAATGACAGTTATACCCTGTCTGTTTCAGGGAGTTCACACTCTCGTTCCTATCTCTACGTCATCCATGACCGACCTTGTCGCCACTAGATGGATAGCCCTATAGCACTATCTACAATTCAACAGTCCCGTCAATCAATGCACAGTGTTACCAAATTCTAAAGATTTGACCTCTAATGTACTTTTGACCACAGTGCTGCTCTCTATTGATATCCACTGTCTGACATGTTATAAGATGGTTCCAATCTTTAAATTGCCTAATTATCAGCCTATTTTGTTACAAAAGACATCATCTGTTAATATCACATTTCCCGTAATATCATGTTTCCATCTAACAAATGAAAAGTGATATAAAGCAGATAAATAACTGTACCAAACTCTGTAAATTGTTCTTGAATTGAATTTGTCAGGTTTGGGCACATCAAAAAATGATAAATCAAGATTATTGGATATGTTAAGCTTTTTGCTTGATTTCGTGCTCTGTGTGAAAGTGTTCAACACGCAGAATTATACTTTATATATAATAAGTCTAAATTAATTTTAACTTAGCATTTTTCAGATTTAAGAACTATTCTACATAATCTTGAAAAGTACAAGAAAACAATTTAAAAGAATTTTTATGTGTATTTACAGAAGAAAAAAGAACCGAAGAAGGAGAAAGCTACGATTATATATGACAAACCAACTAAGCCAGGCGAGAAAAAAGGTAAGGGTTCTAATGCTTTCAATTTGCCATTAAGTGGCACTTTTCCAAAAACCGATTTACCGGTTTGACTTCACTGAAAGTTTCAAAATGATATTAAATTAAATTACAATTTCATATTATGGAAAGTCAACTTTTGAAAACTAAACATGAAATTTGCATACATATCTTCTCGGGGATTAAGGTAATATTGATATATATATATATATTACATAGTGTTTTACAGACATATAGAGAAAGTTACATATTGTCTTTAACAGAAAGTATTAAGCATTTTGCCTTCAGTGAGAGCAATTAACTGCACATTGCTTTCCTTTTCCCCATTCTCATTGATGCAAATTCCACACTTCCATATTTGGTAACGAAGATTCTATGAGTTGACATTGTCCTGCGAGAGGTCAGGACAGAGAAACTATTTTAACCAAATGGACATTCTATGATATTTATTGGGCCTAACATTTGTTATACCTTATAAAAGGGCATTATTTACAGAAACGTGCTTTGTGTTTCTTCAGATATATCTGGTGCCATGCCAGACGCCTACAATCCTCACTATGTAGAGGCGGCGTGGTATGACTGGTGGAATGAAAGTGGCTTCTTCACGCCGGAGTATGGGGTAGGTCAGACCGGCTAAATTGGTCGTTTTCTCCATTACCGTACATTAAGGGGTCAGTGATCTTCTGCCGTGATTTCCGTTGAGGCCATTTATGTCTCGCATATTCATGAACAGCTAGTTTTAATTCAAACTTTCATATGGTTTTCAGTTTGAAGTTATTTTCTTTAAATAGGAAACTGATATTGTTCTTACTTATAAGCTTCCTATTCAATAAATTTTCCATGTTTGTGTGTATATTTCTATTTATGAAATGACATCCAACTACCAAAACGATCCTCATTATTTTGTAAAAAAAATCAGAAATTATGTTGTTATCTGACCTAAATACATTCACCTAGTTAATTTGACACAAACAATTATTTTCAACAGAATTATCGATAATTATCTATATGTACCATTATGTAAGTACAGTCAAACCTGCTCATGTAACCACCTCTTTTAAGAGACCACCTGTGTTATGAGACCATCTGTGTTAAGAGACTACTTTTTGGACTTCCAATGGGTGGACTCTTTATACCGGTTTGACTGTATATAACACCATATCTTGTCTTTGGTCTAATTTCCAGGGTCGTGACATCAAAAATGTGCCGTATGAGGATAAGTTTGTGATTGTCATTCCTCCCCCCAATGTAACAGGTAGCTTACATCTGGGACATGCTCTGACCACAGCAGTGGAGGACTGTATTGTAAGATGGTGAATATGATTTTCTACTCTCTCTGATATAAGTTTAACATATGCCTTTGATGTAATCTTAAAAGAAAATTGAAAAGAACTTTAGTTGTGGTAAATCTTAAGTTGGTTCTTTTGGTAAAGGCTGGTATTTTTATGGTTTAAGTCTGAGGACACCTCAACCTTATTAAAGTTGCTTTCATTTACGGTAAGCCTTTATGATGTAGGCCAGGTATTAAGGACGTTTATGTAGCACTGACCATAACAAAATTTCCATTTTAAATACCATTTTCTTCAATGTAAAATATAATGTAGCATTGAACGTAACAAAACTTTCAGTAAAATACCATTTTCTTTAAAGTAAAATATTCTCAACTTACTGTTAAAGTTTTATCCCCATTCGACCCAATATGACATGTAGTTTTACCACCACTTGACCCAATATGACTTGTAAATGTTAACGTTGTAAAAACCCTCAGTTTAAGTCATTGTCAAATATGTGTAACCTACTTTCACTTTCCATTGTATTAATGCAGGAATAGGTCTAGTATGTGCTGATACTTTCACTTTCCATTGTATTAATGCAGGCATAGGTCTAGTATGTGTGCCCTACTTTTACTTTCCATTGTATTAACACAGGCATAGGATGAATGGGAAGATGACTCTATGGAACCCTGGCTGCGATCACGCAGGAATTGCCACACAGGTTGTTGTAGAAAAGAAAATCAAGAGAGAGAGGAATCTGACCCGCCATGATATGGGCAGGGAGAAGTTTGTAGACGAAGTGTGGAAATGGAAAAATGAGTAAGATATTGTTGATCTTAAAAATATGATCTTAACCCTTTCAATACTGTAGACCATAATGGACTCATCCCAATAAATGCATGGAAGAGTCCACTAAAGTTACCTGGGGTTGAAAGGGTTAAGAGCACAATTTGTTTCTCTAGAAACATCCAACTTAACTCATTCACCCCTGAAGACACATTTGAACTCTTCCAATTCAAAGGTTGGAATAGTCCATTATGAAATTTCAGAGGTGAATGAGTTGAAAAAAGCATTATAAGTTGGTGAAATTTGTGAAAGATACAACATTGTTTATAAATTGAAAAAAATATGAATATTGCAAAAACACACCATTGTATAAAAAGAAGGGGGTGCATAATATTGCTTGTAATAAAACATTTTCTGGAGAAAGAACTTTTTTGTTTGAAGAGATAGATTATTTGTGGAACTTCGTTAAATATTATGTTTTTCGTCTGCAGGAAGGGGGACCGTATCTACCACCAGCTGAAGAGGCTTGGAGGCTCCTACGACTGGGATAGAGCATGCTTCACCATGGACCCTGTAAGTCCCTTTGAACAAAATATGTCAACATCTAGAATTATTACGTCCTTTGGTAATTAAACCAGTATTTTAGTTTTGTCTCGCCGCCACAAAGTAACGGAAGTAATACTAAGGTGTTGCTTTTCCAGCAACGGTATTGTCAACATTAAGTTTTTGCGTTTCAGTTAGTTTCACTGAAAGTTAAGTGATATACCAACCAAACTTGACCATAGATGCATCTTAGGTAGCTCATCTCAACCCATGCATCAAATGCTGGATGTGGCCTACCTTTCATGGTCCATTGACTTGGTCAGCATCTCAATCAACATTAAGTTTTCGTGTTTAAGTTAGTTTCTCTGAAACTATAGGTGTACTAGACCAACCAAACTTGACATGTGCATTGATGGTCAAAGTGGGGCACAGGCAAGACATATCAATTCAATTGTCTTGTTTTGTTGCTTTCTCTAAATTGGAGAAGCATTTAATTTCTTATTTGTGTTAAGATTTAGAAATCTCTTAAATGATAAACATCCTTATTGTATGGATTTATGGATAACAAACAAGATCTACGCTAACTTTTTATCATTATTAACAAAAAGGACTGAGGCTGATTTCCTTGATCACATACCAAACAGTTGACCAAAAGTTTACCTGGACCTCACAGGTTTTACTTGGACCTCACAGGTTTTCTGATATTGTTTTCTGGCTAGCCTTGGCATAAACTTTTCAACTTCCACACTTTTATTTGAAATTTGTGAACTGGTAGTTTCACAAAGTTGAAAGGTTCAGTAGAAATTCATTGGATGATCTAACATCCAAAACTGTATCAGTTCATATCTACATTATCATTTTATTTGACAGAAATTGGTGCGGGCAGTTACAGAAGCGTTTATACAATTACACGAGAAGGGACTGATCTACCGTAGTGTACGCCTGGTCAACTGGTCCTGTACCCTCAACTCGGCCATCTCGGAAATTGAGGTCAGTGTTACTGTCTTTGTAACTGTAAAGGTCACTCGTCGTTACATGGGTCCATCACAACTGGCTGCTGTATTGATATAGTATCTACTCATTCAGCCTCTGGTTAAGTGGCCGACACACAGTGTTTCTGTCTTTGTAACTGTAAAGATTACTCGTCGTTACATGGGTCCATCACAACCGGCTGCTGTATTGATATAGTATCTACTCATTCAGTCTCTGGTTAAGTGGCCGACACACAGTGTTACTGTCTTTGTAACTGTAAAGGTTACTCATCGTTACATGGGTCCATCTCAATTGGCTGCTGTACTGATATAGTATCTACTCATTCAGCCTCCGGTTAAGTCGCCGACACACAGTGTTTCTGTCTTTGTAACCTTAAAGGTCAGTCATCGTTAGATGGGTCCATCACAACTGGCTGCTGTATTGATATAGTACCTCCTCATTCAGCCTCTGGTTAAGTGGCCGACACCCAGTGTTTGAGTCTTTGTAACTGTAAAGGTTACTCATCGTTACATGGGTCCGTCACAACTGGCTGCTGTACTGATATAGTATCTACTCCTTCAGCCTCTGGTTAAGTGGCCGACACACAGTGTTACTGTCTTTGTAACTGTAAAGGTTACTCATCGTTACATGGGTCCGTCACAACTGGCTGCTGTACTGATATAGTATCTACTCCTTCAGCCTCTGGTTAAGTGGCCGACACACAGTGTTACTGTCTTTGTAACTGTAAAGGTTACTCATCGTTACATGGGTCCATCACAACTGGCTGCTGTATGGATATAGTATCTACTCATTCAGCCTCTGGTTAAGTGGCCGACCCACAGTGTTTGAGTCTTTGTAACTGTAAAGGTTACTCATCGTTACATGGGTCCATCACAACTGGCTGCTGTACTGATATAGTATCTACTCATTCAGCCTCTGGTTAAGTGGCCGACACACAGTGTTTGAGTCTTTGTAACTGTAAAGGTTACTCATCGTTACATGGGTCCATCACAACTGGCTGCTGTACTGATATAGTATCTACTCATTCAGTCTCTGGTTAAGTGGCCGACACACAGTGTTTCTGTCTTTGTAACCTTAAACGTCACTCATCGTTAGATGGGTCCATCACAACTGGCTGCTGTATTGATATAGTATCTACTCATTCAGCCTCCGGTTAAGTGGCCGACACACAGTGTTACCGTCTTTGTAACTGTAAAGGTTACTCGTCGTTAGATGGGTCCATCACAACTGGCTGCTGTATTGATATAGTATCTACTCATTCAGCCTCCGGTTAAGTGGCCGACACACAGTGTTTCTCTCCTCGTCCCAAAAAAAAAGATGGTGTGATTTAATGTAAGAGATACCAAAGCAGTTCTATCTTGAGAGTATTTGGGTAAAAAAATCCAATTGGCATTTATGTTTCTTTTAGGTGTGAATATTCTCTGATGCCCGAAACTAACGTTTTGACCTTAATTCTTATGTATGACATTAATTATTTTAATTTATCAAGAATTAATCTGATGTGAAATTTGTTTTATTTGCCATTCAAGGATATCAGTTCAAATTCCTTAGTAATTAAAGTGATAAAAACTGAAAACTTTGCATGCCAAATAACATTCCAAGACATGTTATTGTTTTCCTTTTCACTCAATTAATCAAATGACTTTAGAATGCTGGAGTCAGTCCCTTTTTGCTGATTAAAACTGAATTAACTCCCTTGGTCCATGTGGCTTATATGGTTCAAATTCCGCATAGCTTTCTGGTACCTGTGGAAACAATGAGTTAAAAATACATTTTCCCAAAAGTTTTCAAGGTAAATTTTAAAATTGAAATTACGGTAATTCAAAATCATTGTCAAGGAACATTTAATGGGAATTGAAAATATGTGAAGAATTAATATAAAACAATTATTACAGTGTTGAGATAATCTCTACAGGTAGACAAGAAGGAGCTGCCTGGTCGGACCATGTTACCTGTAGCCGGCTACACAGAAAAGATAGAGTTTGGTGTCATCGTGTCCTTTGCCTACCCTGTGGAAGGCTCAGGTAACCATCATACATTGTGCTAATTTTTAAGACCAGATTTTCTTAATAAATTTGCATCCTATTCAAAATTCTTACTAGCAACCATTGTGTATACCCCAAGTAAACAGTATTTTCATCATTTTCTTTGAAAGATTGAACAGATTTCAACCAAATGTATAAAAAGCATCATTATGATAAGGAAATCAACGTTTTCTTATTTTGTGTCCCTACTCTTAATAGGGACCAAGGAGTATCACCCCAAATGGGACAATTTTCTAACATTCTCACAACAGATCAAGAAATAGAGGTAAACTGCATGTATTTCAGTATAAAATTGTCCATATTAAACCCTTTTGGGTTCTACCCCTTGGTCCCTACGAGGGGTAGGAAGAACAAAGGTGAATGAATAAAATTTCCTCATAAGCTCTAATGTGGTTTGAGGCATATTGGGTGGTCGGACGATGCAGTGGATAGCGTACTCGCCATTCACCATGACAGCGGTGGTTTGATTGCCTAACCAGACATGTACAGGCATGGGGTTAACTGCCCGACCACATTGGATTTTTTCCAAGTACTCCGGTTTCCTCCCATGTTAAGACACCCCCCCCTCCCCCCTCCACATCCCGGCCAACAAGAGCAATTTATATAAGCTGAAAGAACTTGTTTCGTGATTGTTGTTTAATTTTTAATGGGGTTTACACCAACGGGTGAAATTTAACACAGGTAAGCAATATATACGCACACAAGCCTGAGAACTAAGTAAATCTGTATCGCTGATTGTTGTTGTGAAATCAAAAGTCATATATTGAAGACTTTTGCGTTGACAGATGAGGAGATTGTTGTGGCGACCACTCGTATTGAGACAATGCTGGGCGACACCGGAGTGGCTGTCCACCCTGAGGATGACCGATACAAACATCTCCATGGCAGGTTTGTGACCCATCCCTTCGTCGACCGGCGTATGCCCATCGTCCTGGACGACTTCGTAGACAGGAACTTTGGAACAGGTACAATTTCTATGTTTAAATTGATAATATTGAGCTTGGAATTACTAATAGTTGGAAGATGGAATCCAAATTAACTAAGATTAAAGGAGGGGGGGGGGGGGGGGGGGGGGGGGGGGGGGGGGGTGGAGTTACACTGATCAAACTTGTACATTTATTGACCACTGATAATGCTGATAAAAGATTTTTGCAAGTGGTATGTTTCCACCGGTTAGTTTAATGAAAATAGAATGTTCAAAAATAGAAATATCAAGTTATACTAGAGATTAAAATTAATGATAGTTTTGGTGTGTTGCTTTAAGTAGATAATAGGTAAGATGATAGCGACTGAGTGCACTTGTATGTCCCGTGTAGGTGCTGTGAAGATCACGCCAGCCCACGACCAGAACGATTACGAGGTTGGCGTACGCCACAATATGCCATTCCTCACCATTATAGACGACAAGGGTAACATGACACCTGACTGTGGAGAATTTGCTGTAAGTCACTAGTTCAAAGGTCAAAGTTTGCTGTAATTAAAATCACTAATATAAAGGTCAACCTTTGCTTCAAGTCACACGCTTAAAGATCAAACTTTGTTCTAAGTATCTCACTTGAAGATCAACAAAATCAATTCAACATGCTGATTGAGGAATTTGTCATTCAATACATTTGAAACAGTCATGGTTATGAAGAGATTTATGACTTGATAAGAAATTTAAGATCTGTATTATTTCCTTAATTACTCGTTTCTTACATTCTTGGTCTATTTGTTCATGTTAAAACAGTATTGATGACATCATTACCACCCAGATAATACGTAGGTGTAAGTATAAAAGTATGAATGCTTTCCAGGGTATGAGGAGGTTTGAGGCCCGCAAAGCCGTCCTGGAAGCTCTCAAGAAGAAGGGTCTATATAAGGAGACCAAAGAAAACCCCATGGTTGTGCCTATCTGCAGGTAGGCATTCCTTTAACTTGAAATCCATCAGAGGGTATACAGTTTGATTTTTTAGGTTTTTGTTCACCACTGTAGACCATAATGGGCTCATCCATATCAATGCATGGTAGAGTCTACTAAAGTTATATAGAGGTGAAAGGGTTAAGTAAATAGAGATATTATGGAGCATGACATTTAAATTTATATTTGTAAGTAAATTCTTTCTACCAGCATTGGACATTTTCTGAACAGGTAGCATTAATTGATGCTGTGAAGTTTTCTAGATAATATACACATTATCCAAGAACATGTTTGGAAAGAGTTTAAAATATTATGGCTAACCAAATGTATACAGTTGATTATGCTCAAAAAACCATCCCTATTAATTAATCATCTCTCTTAATTAAGAGACAGTCCTTTTCCCATCCCGATGGAGCAGTTTATTTTATACAGACAAGTGAAATGTATTAATATTCTTTTAGGAGCCTATCTATGTTGAAATATATCAAGAGCCTCTTACTTTGTGGTCTCTTAATACATATTTGACTGAACCGAAATAGTATATATTATGGCAAAGTTTTAGAGCAAGGTTCTATAATACCTAGGGTAAAGTTGATTTCCGTAAGGCAACATCATCTGGTGACTATTTTTGGACCAGATGTTTTCCCATTTATCAAAATAAAAAAGTAAATGACATAATGGAAAACATTGAGGTGACATATATAATGTCAGTCGATGTGATGCTAAACATTTTGATTTCAAAATTTTCTTGTTATGTTGGTCACAATTTAGATGAATTGAAGTTCTGATCTTGCTATACAGAGGTATAGGTAAATTGTCCATCCTGTGTGTTACAGTCGCTCCAAAGATGTGATTGAGCCCCTGCTGAAGCCCCAGTGGTATGTCAGTATGCAGTCCATGGCTGATAAGGCGGTAAAGGTATGCAAAATAACAAACATGTTTCAATTTTAGCTCACAAGACCCAAAGGGCAAATCATGGAGCTTATGTTATGTTCTGGCATCTATCCTTTGTCAGCTTTTCATTCAGAAAACTACTAGTCCAAAAGAGCTGAAGAGATGTTGACTAAATTTTGCATGGACAAATAGAATTAAATGTTGTATAGATGAACAGCATGGCCCTCCAAAAGACATGCAGAAGAGCATGTTCCAAAAGTGAAATAGTTGTTAAATTTACTACTCTGTAAGTATAGATGAAGAACTTTTGACCTAATTTGGTATGGAGCATCCCTGAGCAAGATGACTTCAGAATTTATCATAATGTCAACTTCCTTGTCATGTAGATATATTGACCATTTACAGTGTAGTGAAATCATTGAACAGTATTACCATGTTTGTGATGACTTTGACAGGCTGTGAGAGAAGGGGAGCTGAAACTGATCCCTGACATGCACGAGAAGACATGGTACAACTGGCTCGAGGACTCCAGGTAAACAGGGCCAATCAGAATCACATTCCTGTCTAATATAGACAGTGTCTGTATGGTTTTACTTACAATACCTGATCAGACAATTAGACATTTTACATCATATCCTTATTTTGGTAAATAAATGGGAAAAATGAATTAAAACTGGAGAGAATATTGATCTGATATAAAAACTAAAAAAACAAGCTTATGTCACAGAATCGGCAACCTCTGATTGTTCGCAATTCAACAAATCCTTTTAATTGATATACAACCTTTTTTTCTGCCTCCTGAAGAGATTGGTGCATATCGAGACAGCTGTGGTGGGGGCATCGTATCCCAGCATACTTTGTAACCGTTGACGACCCATCTATTCCTCCAGGGGAGGTAAGTGTGTCACCTATAGGGAACTGCATCACTGCGGATATGAATTGTCTGAAATCCTCTACTAAGTAAAGCATGAAATAATACAGAATTATTCTGATCAAAGTAATAATTTCCAATGCGTTATAAATAAAACTTTAATTTGACATTGATGTATTTTAAATCAGTAATATGTCAGTTTGAACGGCATGTGTGACACTTCAGTGCAGTTTTACAGTCAAACCTATATCAAACTATATAATTACCTGTGCATAGGACACTGATGAGAAGTACTGGGTGAGTGGACGGACAGAAGAGGAAGTCAGACAGAAAGCTGCCGAACGTTTCAAAGTCAGCGGGGACAAAATCTCTCTCAGACAAGGTCAGTTCAAGGTCATATAACAGAAAGTCGGGTACTGATAGTAGATACAGTATGTCAATAAAATTAAAAAACGGTCTAATTTGGGCAGGTATTTTTTTCGGGCTGGAAATGCTGGAAAAAGGTTCTACTAAAAAGATATTTACAAAAATATTTCCTCTTAGAACTAGTTAAGATATATTTGTTTGAGCAGTCAACCCTGCAGTGCACATAGTGATGGGTCAGGTGACTAGTAAACGTTGGTCATTACAGGTGATCCGACACTCCTTATGTTAAACAATTCGGCATTCTTGATGATGATGGCCAAACATTTAGACAAAGTTACGATCACAAAACATCTTTGTGGTGTCGAGTATCCTTAAGTTTTCAGTACATTGGTCATTATCAAAAAAACAGATGGTTACAAGACAAGGGTTGATGATTTTGTATTTTGTTTAATTTCATAATGTTGCACCTATAATGGTGATTGTTTTTGTTTTAGATGAGGATGTGTTGGACACGTGGTTCTCGTCGGGGATATTTCCTTTCTCCATCTTTGGGTGGCCAGAAAAGGTACAACCATTTAACAATATAATCAGATCTGTGGAGAGTAATACGGTAATCAGCGCTCGGAGTTTGTATATAGCAGTCATAATAATGCTCAATAATTGTTCAATTGCTCTGTGAATCACATTGCCTGACTAGTAAAACATTATATATTCAGAATTACATTTGAATAAGAAATTAACTAATCAGATTCCTTTCCAAATGCTTAAAATACGAAAGTATCATTTGTTGTTCGCCAAATCTTCTAGAACATGACCATATCAACTATCAGTTCTTCCATTTCAATAGGAAACTTTCATGGCTGCTATACAGCAATCACTTCAGTTTTATGCCAAATGCTCGCGATATTACTTTAACCATGCAACTAGGGCCCTTATCATTCTCATGCTCAAACTCAGACATTCTAATTATACATTGATCATCATTTTGGAGAGAGTTGGGGCGGAAAAACATTTACAACATTGAAACCTGACTTTTTGACCATGTGACATGATTTTAAGCCAGTTACAAGAAAGTATGTTAGAGCACAGAATCCTAGCTTGAGCAAGAAAATGGTTTCATGAATACAGGCCCAGATATCTGATCAGTAACATGGTGGTATGACTAGTAGAAGTTCTACTCAACTAGTCCTCTTGACTACCACTCTCATGCAAAACTAGTTTATTTTCTCACCCTGGTATAGATAACTGGTCTGGAGTTGTTACTGAAATATTTTTGGAAGCTCACTGTTAGATTTGTTAGTTATGGTCTGTGATGTGTAAGTACAAGTGACTTTCCTTTTTACAGACAAATGAACTGGAAGCGTTTTACCCCGGCACCCTGCTGGAAACTGGCCACGATATCATCTTCTTCTGGGTCGCCCGTATGGTGACGATGGGTCTCGAGTTGATGGGCAAGCTCCCGTTCAAAGAGGTTTGTTTTAGATATATAGACTGTCACCATTACAAGATCGTTTCTTAAAGCATTGGATTTAAAGCAGGGCATCATCAATTCTCCAGGGGTTATGCTCACTTACGTTCTCATCACTCCTGGACTATGTCATAACAAAATCAAAGGCTCAGTGTGCACCACCTTGTCAGTGAGACAAGAAGAGTACTTTGATCCTTTGATGTACATAAAAAAAAACTCCCAGCCACATAACGGTAAACATTGACTGACTTTTAAGTTTGGTGTCACTCCTCTGTAATCTTCACAGGACAGGTATCAGTCTAACGATTGTCAGGTTTTTGTACCTGAGACTAATCAAATAGCTTGATGTGTGCCTTTAGTTTTGTTATTACACCTCTACTTTATTTACTCTATATAAAAGTAATTGGTTAAATCGAATATATCCCCACTTTTGCCTGAGTGTGTTTTAGTCCTGTGTGTTAGTCTGTGAACTAAAACACACCTACACTCGGGTGTTTCCACCGAGCCAATCAGGCGAGAGGTGGGCGGAGCTTGTTACCGAACTCGGCAGTGACGCGCGAGGTGGGCGGAGCTTGCTGCCGAACTCGTAAGCATTTGGCTCCATTGCCATCAAAAGGGTATTTGGGACGTGAAGCTATACAGCTTATGGTTTACAAATATTTTCTAGTTAAAACTATCTCTCCAGTGTGTATCGGTATAATAAAACGGTTAAAGTATGGGGTTGAGGCATATATAGCAAGTTTCTGGTGTCCCTTGACCATGCCTATTTCCCTCGGCTTCGCCTCGGGAAATAGACCTGGTCTCGGGACACCAGAAACTTGCTATATCCCTCAACGCCATACTCTAACTGTATACTATGACATATTCCAGGGTTCCAGAGAGCATAATTATGCGTAACCCCTGGAGTATTGAAACAATTCTTCAAGGAATATTATAAAGATGAAATTTGTTATATGATAGTTCATTGTACACAACACAGACAATTTACCTCATATCTTTCTACACAACTTGTTGGAGATGATTAACTCTATACAAGTAAAACTCGGAGATATTTATCAGGGAAGTGAACCCTGACCACCTAGGTGAAAGGCGAGTGCGTTATCTACTGCGCCACCTGACTTGCAAAAAATATTGATAGGTACATATGAAAACCTTATTTTTTTAACATTTCCAGACTTAAATTATTCACCCAATATGATGATTTACCAAATTATGTATACATAATATTAATTGTTTTACAGGTGTATCTTCATGCAATGGTGAGGGATGCCCATGGAAGGAAAATGTCCAAATCACTAGGAAACGTCATTGACCCTATTGATGTCATCAATGGAGTCTCATTGGCAGTAAGGACAAAATAACAATACTTTCTTGATTCAGCTTAGTTGTTAATCCTGCCTGGAGCCCTGACTTGGCCTGGTGTTACAGTAATACCTGACCTGGTCTGGGGTAGCACACAGGCAGAGCCCGGTCAACACAAGTAATATTGAGGGGGAATTAAATTTGACAAAAAATATCATCCAAGATTTAATATTTCATACTAAGATGGTGTTCAGATTGTTATCTCTAGGCTGATAAAAGGAGCCATGTTTAACATCGATAAAAATATAGTCAATAGGAGTTTTCAAATTTAAGACCCCCAAACCAGCAATTTCTTACCAGTCCTAAAAACATTTAATAATAATAACAATAACAATTCAAGGTTCTTATATACCGCTTTATCACAACCTAGTTTGAAGGTCGTCTCAAAGCGGTTCACAAATTATTATCCATGGTCATAGGGCCTTTGCAACCAGTCAATATCGTTCTCAACTCCCTGGGGAGCATACAGCCGGTGCTGCCATTTTGGCGCTCACAGCTAGCATTCTACATTTCTAGCACTGCCCAACCATGTACTCATTTACAGCTGAGTAGACTGGAACAAGCTGAGTAAAGTCTCTTGCTCAAAGATACAACACAGTGTCGTGCCGTGACTCGAACCCGCAACCCTTTGGTCACGAGCCCGGCATCCTACCACTAGACTACCGTGTCTCCATTTAAGACACCAAATTTGGGGATGTGATCATTGTATATTTGTTTGGGGAAGATAGTGAGAATATTCATTAATGTTGAAATTGTTTCATTATTAACAGGAACTACACATGCGACTGGAGGACGGAAACTTGGACAAGAAGGAGATAGTCAAGGCACAGGAGGGTCAGGTAACGCATTCTCAACAATCAAGTTTCTTACAATCGCAGCAAATATTTTATTGTGGCATGGGAACTGTTTTGCAAATAAATCTTAAGTAATATTCACTGAAACTTTTAAAAAGTTAAAACTGTTTACATGACCAGTACTCGACTGTCTTACTATAACGTGAAGCTTTCATTGAAAAGCATCACATTTTCTTATCTTCGTAATATTAATCATTAAATGTTTTCTATATAGTTACCTTCATACTATTTAACTACCTAAAGAAACATGAAGTGGTAGGAATTAAGATAAATATAGTTATTTTAGATTTCTTCGCATACTTCTGTTTATTATAGCATGTTTTTTCTACACAGAAAGCAGACTACCCCAATGGTATCCCAGAGTGTGGTACAGATGCCCTCAGATTTGCACTTTTAACCTACACAGCTCAAGGTCAGTTCTGGTAGTTATACCATCTCTGTAGTACATATTGGTCTTTGTTGTACAGGGGTCTTTTGTTTAAGAATATGTTTTTGGTTCAAAAAGCCATCTCTTGTTTATCCTGGATACATCTGTGTTTGTTTTGGATTTTTATACCCTCCACAACAAAAATCGGGGATGAGTATACTGGAATCAGGTTGCCTGTTCCTCGGTTTGCCTCTTAACACGAAGAGTTGTGAAGTCTACTTCTCCAAATGCACAAGAATAATTTTAACAAAATTTTGTAAAATGACATAACATATGAACCTGAGCATGCATTACCACAATTTGTTCCTACCCCTTTTCTAAAGAGTTATGGCCCTTGATGCAATAACCTTAAATCTGTAGACAAGAATTTGTCCAGTATACTCTTCCCGAAGTACTCTATCTATTCTAATCAAACTTTGTACACATCTTCTCCAGCACATCAAATGGTACATGTGTGACCAGCATGTTGTTTCCATTGATATTTAGAGAGTTATGTCCCTTTATTCTGCTGACCCTTGAGTATGGATTTCATACTGTAAAAGCTTACCTATCAAATGAACCTCTTCACATGTGTAACTACAATACTTTTACTGTCCAGTTTTGACGGAGTTATGACCCTTGATGTAATTATTTTATATATGAATGCACATTCTCCTTCATTTCAAATTGATGTCAATTCATTTCATGCAGTCGTATACGTAATTGACATCATTTCCTGCACCAATATGCTCTGATTACAATTTTAAATTCATTCAATTTAAATATAGTGAAAAGACCTTGTGAGTGACAAATAGTATGATGTGGGGGTGTAAGTTAGCCTCAAGATCACATTTCTAGTATCTTAATGTTATATATTTGGAAATCAATCAATGTAAGAGTGAAGTGTCATGTGTCTGTTTACAGGTCGAGATATAAACCTGGACGTTCTCCGTGTCCAGGGATACAGATTCTTCTGTAACAAGTTATGGAATGCTACCAAATTCGCTCTAGGAGCCCTCGGGGAAAGCTTCAAGCCAAACCCCACACGACAGGTAAGAACAGAATTGTAGAAACTGTGAATCTAGCTCCATACAGAACAAGAAAAAATACTACAAAGTGCATCTCAGCTTTAGTCAGTAATGTTGTATAGATATTCATAGCTTTGTTGTAACATTGAAAACTATTTATGTGCATACAGTGTACTTGTAAAATAAAACAATATAAATATCTTCATACATGTAAAATAAAAAATCATAAAAGAAAAGTGCAGTTTCAAGGTACCTTCACCTTGGCTTTAAGATTGAATGTTCACTCTGTTACTGACGACCTTGCTATTATTTGTCAGTTGTCGGGTAGAGAGAAGGAGATGGACCGGTGGATCCTCAGTCGACTGTCCTACGCTGTAGATCAGTGTGGTAATGGATTCCGTAGCTACGACTTCCCCGCTGTCACTACTTGCTGTTACAACTTTTGGTTGTATGAACTCTGTGATTGGTACTTAGTAAGTATAATATGATCCCCCAACCCCGACCCCAAACTCCCGACCCCCAACCCCAACCTCCAACCCCGAACCTAAACCCAAACCCCAACCCCGNTAGTTAGTAAACTATGACCATTTCCGATTGGCCATGAGGGTTAGTGCCGTTTTATCTGGTAATAAGCCCATGCCTGGAAATAAGCCCGCCTTATTGCTAAATGCTACTTCATTGTCCTGCAATATGCTCACTTCCCTATTTTGAATCTGAGATGATGTGTTGACCCCGTAGGTTAATGGAGGATAAATATGGAAAGTAGATATCAATGGACCTCGGTCGACTGTTCTGTCTTGTAAGTAAATTTTGACCTGCCCTGGTTGCTTTTAGGTGCTGATTTGATTCCTTTTGTCATGGGAACCCTGTGTTGTTATGTTATAAAGGGTCTTAAAATGATTGTATATATATATATCTTAAGACAACCCTTGGTAAATTATCAATTATCTTTTTGTTGATATATGTTGGTGTAAGGCAAAATAAAGAACTGTAATTAAAGGTGATTTTTTGTAATTTTAAGGAAAACTCCAAGCCAGTGATCTATGGTACGGATGTGGAGGCGAAGGAATGTACGCGCCAGGTTCTGTATAATTGTCTGGAGGCAGGTTTACTCCTGCTCCACCCCCTCATGCCGTTCATCTCCGAGGAACTCTACCAACGGTTACCACGACGAACTTCTTCCGAAGCGCCGAGTATATGTGTAACACCGTATCCAAAGTCTGCAAATGTAAGTCAGTTGTGTAAATAATGATTTTGTAATTTGAAATGTTCGGTTACAAAAAAATAGCATGCCATTGGGCTTTGAAATTACAATATGCAAGACATTTCTTAAGATATGTTTTAGACAACACCAACTCCATCAATATTTGTTCCCCTCAATGCATATCACAAATTCTGGAATAAAGTAATTCACACGGGCACAAGCTGCCTTTCTTGACAATCTGCCCAAATCTGGTAACAAAAAAAATAATTTAAAACTTAATTTCACCCTTTGAACTAGTAAAAAGATAGAGTAGCCAATGATAACACTATTGTCAATATTATTGTACTGCCTTTATTCTCCAATTTTTGGGTAAATTGAATAGAAAATGTAAACACAATTATTATAGTAGAGTGATATATGAGAGATCACAGCCAGACATATACTATATTGCAGTACCAGGACAGAAACAGCGGCCTAGAGAAGGAAGTGGACTTTGTCCAGAATGTCATCAAGAGTGTCCGCTCCATGAGGTCAGACTACAACCTGACCAACAAAAACAAGGCAGATGGTACGTACCTCCATGGGTAAATGTGTAAAACATGTCCTCCTGTACGTATATATATAAACACTTTATTTCTTTTACAACAATCATGAAACAGCATATCAATTTGTATATATTAATAACTCTTGTTTGCTCGGATACAAGTGCACAGGGGGTACTCCTGTAGGAGGAAACCAGAGTACCCAAAGAAAACCCACATGGTCAGGCAGGTGACTCTATTCCTATACCTTTTCACGTTGAACCCCTGTTGTCTTGGTGAAAGGCATGTGCATTATCCACTGTGCCATCCGACCACCCTTTCTGTACATGTCTGTATGTGTACCAAAATATATACAACTGCATGTGTATCCCCATGTATACAACTCCATGTGTATCCCCATGTATACAACTCCATGTGCATCACCATGTATACAACTCCATGTGTATCACCATGTAAACAACTCCATGTGTATCACCATGTATACAACTCCATGAGTATCACCATGTAAACAACTCCATGTGTACCCCCATGTATACAACTCCATGTGCATCAACATGTATACAACTCCATGTGTATCCCCAAGTAAACAACTCCATGTGTATCCCATGTATACAACTCCATGTGTCTCCCCATGTATACAACTCCATGTGTGTCCCCATGTAAACAACTCCATGTGTACCCCCATGTATACAACTCCATGTATATCACCATGTATACAACTCCATGTGTATCTCCATGTATACAACTCCAAGTGTATCACCATGTATACAACTCTATGTGTATCCCCATGTAAACAACTCTATGTGTATCCCCATGTATACAACTACATGTGTATCCCCATGTAGACAACTCCATGTGTATCCCCATGTATACAACTCCATGTGTATCCCCGTAGGTAAATGATGCCACAAAGCTTTTCTGCTGTACTTTAAACTTAGTCATGTCTCCCCTTAAAATGAGGGAAGACAGATTTAGAACATTAGCGTTGGTTCTTCTTCTGGTACTTATTCAAGAAGCCTCTGGCTCAGGCAGTAACTTTTAAATTGTTTAAGATACTGTATACACCTATAAATTCACACTGGGATATTTTCACATTTTCATCAGGAAATCAATATTCACAGCCGGTAGAATTCACATGGAAACGAGGTCAGTCCATGATGTTTTAACACAGTGAAATGGTTAACCTTTTTATTGTGCTCTTATTCCTGTTGTTATCTCATGGTATTTGTTAATACTTTGAGATACTGATTATCATGTGAATGGAATGTAGTTTTAGTTAGGGCTATTCCAGAAATAAATGTATGGGGTGGGGGCTAGGAGGCACTTTTATTTTTACCCAACCACCCACAATTTTATTTTATCCTTCAACCCCATCTCCCATGTTTTTATTAGCTCACCTGGCACGAAGTGCCAAGTGAGCTTATGCCGTGGCGCGGCGTCCGTCGTCCGTCCGTCCGTCCTTGTCCGTCAACTTTTCCTTTAAACAACTTCTTCTGAAGAACGGACAGGCCTAGAGTCATGATATTTGGCTGAAAGCTTCGTTGGTAGGAGCCCTACAAAGTTTGAGAACGAAAATGACCTTGACCTGTTTTCAAGGTCACAGGGGTCAAATATGTCAAAAACTTCAAACGACTTCTTCTGAAGAATTAAAAGGTATAGAATCTTCATATTTGGCTGATGGCTTCCTTGGATGGAGCCCAACAAAGTTTGAGAATGAAAATTACCTTGACCTTCTTTCAAGGTCACAGGGGTCAAATGTGTCAAACACTTCAAACGACTTCTTCTGAAGAACTGAAAGGTATATAATCTTTATATTTGGCTGGTGGCTTCCTGGGATAGAGCCCAACAAAGTTTGAGAATGAAAACTAGTTTGACCTACTTTCAAGGTCACAGGGGTCATATATGTCAAAAGCTTCAAATGACTTCTTCTGAAGAACTGAAAGGTATAGAATCTTTATTTTTGATTGATGGCTTCCTTGGATAGAGCCCGACAAAGTTTGAGAATGAAAATGACCTTGACCTTCTTTCAAGGTCACAGGAGTCAAATGTGTCAGACACTTCAAACGACTTCTTCTGAAGAACTGAAAGGTATATAATCTCTATATTTGGCTTGTAGCTTCCTAGGAAAGAGCCGAACAAAGTTTGAGAATGAAAATGACCTTGACCTTCTTTTAAGGTCACATGAGGCAGATATGTCAAACACTTTAAACGACTTCTTCTGAAGAACTGGTAGTTATAAAATCTTAATATTTGGCAGGTGGCTTCCTGGGAAAGAGCCAAACAAAGTTTGCGAATGAAAATGACCTTGACCTACTTTCAAGGTCACAGCGTTCAAATATGTCAAACAGTTCAAACAGCTTCTTCTGAAGAATTAAAAGGCATAAAATTATAATATTTGGCTGGTGACTTCCCGGGATAGAGCTCACCAAAGTTTGCAAATGAAAATGACCTCAACCTACTTTAGAGGTCACAGAGGTCAACAACATTTTAATGGATTTGTTCTTGAGAACTAAAAGGAATGGATTCATAAGATTTGGCTGGTAGCTTTTTGGAATAGAGCTAACCAATTTGAGAAGGAAAATGACATTGACCTACTTACAAGATCACAGGGAAAAATATGTCAAGCAACTTCTGAAGAAGAATCAAAAAGCATAGAATCTTATAATAATATTTTGCTGGTAGTTTCAACAGATGGAGCCAACAAAGTTTGCGAGGGAAATATTTTTAATGCAATATAATATTTAATGAGAATATTTTGCTATGACTGCTTAAATATTCAGGTGAGCGATACAGGCCCTCTTGGGCTTCTTGTTTTTCTTACACACCCTACCGCCCATGATTTTTTTTATATATTTTGTAAAACACTTAACTATTCATGATTTCATTCTTTCAACATAATCTAATGAATAATACAATTAGGTACATTTGTTCTCAATGCATGTTGATTCAGTTGTTTACACTGTGTAAATGACAAACTGTATCACCTCCATTGTTTATGGTGTGATATAGAGAGGCTTTAAATAGCACACAGAGAAAGTCATGCTCACCTGTCACATTACAACCCACATTAAAGGTCACACTTAGTCAAATATGTATAAACATCTAAATAACCTAATTTCAGTTAACAAAAGGTCTGGGGTGGTGATATTTTACAAGTTGCATGCTGAGATGAAGGGCTATAATGTTTGTTCAAGTTAATGACCTTGTTCGACTTTCAAGGTCACATAGGTCAAATGTTTTTAAGTCTTTTATCAGGTTCTTTTGAATGACTTATAGTTATAATACTGATATTTTGACTAGCTTTAGTTTAGATAACTTTTAAGGTTACAAGTGTGAGATTAATACTAGGTGAGCGATGCAGGCCCATTGGGCCTCTTGTATTGTATTATTATAAGATATGAAATTATGCTGTTTTTATACACCCGTCGAAGACGGGGACGTATTATGTTATCACGTGAGCGGGCGGGTGGGCGGGCGAACGATGTCTGCTCGATATCTCGAGTAATTATTAACGGATTAACTTCAAACTTCACAACAACGTTAATTACCATGAAAGCTCGGACAAGTTCGATAACCGCAATTATCCGACCATAATTTGTGGAGTTATGCCCCTTTATGGACTTGCCGAAACAGTGTCCGCTCGATATCTCGAGTAATTATTAACGGATTAACTTCAAACTTCACAACAAGGTTAATTACCGTAGAAGCTTGGACAAGTTTGATAACCATTATCATCCGACCGTAATTATTGGAGTTATTCCCTTGGTTTCATTAATGCGATGCATGCGTTCCATGTTTTTGTATTGCACTCATTGATCTACCAGTTATGTTGAATGATTTCTCTTTTAATATCAATTACTCACAAATACTTCATATATTTCAATCATACAAACAACTGCTCATTCAATGTGTGACGGGCGTATTATATACCACTCGCGGTAACCTTGTTATAAGTATATCAGATGGAACTTGTATTATTATAAGAAATGAAATTATGCTGTTTTTATAAGTATATCAGATGGAACATAATACAATTGTTAAGAAAAAAGTACTGCACATTGCAGAGAGCATTATAGCATTACAATTGGAAGAGACAAAAAAGGAATATTAACCTGCTGTTTCTAATAATCATACTTAAGAGTCAATATCACAAATCACTGACCTCAAAATGGCAGCTTTTACATTTCAAGGTTGCATGAAAATTGCCATTTTACTTGAAAAAATGCCACAAATCTTGATTATGTGATAAAAAGGATCTTACACTCGTTTTCATTTCAGATAATATTTATGAAACTCAATTCTTAAGAGTCGTTTCATCAATCTCATATGAAATGGAAACTCATGTAAGATCCTATATGTGTAATCTAACATATATAAATATAACAAATAACAAAGAGGACAGTTAAGATATAAATGACTTTTTATTACACACACATCAAACTTTATTATAGGGCTGTACACAAGGCAATACAATCAACTGTGAATCACTGACAATACAGGTAAAGGGACTTTAAGTCTGTTAACATACAAATCTGTCAATACATTGAGTACATTGTAAATGTAGTGTATTTACTGTGACAGTGTAATACACTTATAAATGTAGTGTATTTACTGTGACAGTGTAATGCACTTATAAATGTAGTGTATTTACTGTGACAGTGTAATACACTTATAAATGTAGTATATTTACTGTGACAGTATAATACACTTATAAATTTAGTATATTTACTGTAACAGTGTAATACACTTTTAAATGCAGTATATTTACTGTGACAGTGTAATACACTTATAACTGTAGTATATTTACTGTGACAGTGTAATACACTTATAAATATAGTATATTTACTGTGACAGTGTGATACACTTAGTGATAAAGTATTTTTACAAAAAATCTCAAAAAATACATTACAACATTATAATACAACATTGCTACTACTACAATATGATATATATATTTGTTACACCTCAAGTGAATTTCTAGCTATTTGATTGGTTGGGAGAAAATTAAACAAAAATCACTGTCGCC